CAGCCTGTCAGACTTTGAGCGTATGCGCGATCCCAAGTGATAACGGATATCACAAACAGCGACTCTTCGCTGATGAGCACACGCTTTGCTATGTTTGTCCTGTTCTTATCGGCGCGTGTCGGCATGGGGAGATGAAGGAAGGGGGGGGGGGGGGGGGCAACGCCCCGTCCCAAAACGTAGGGCAAAGTTCAGTGCAGACGTTACCCGCCGAAAGTTCGTTCGACAGGAATGCAGGCCCTACTCCACTATCACCCTGACTCCGAGCCCCAGCCTCGCTTCGGTTTCTCCCGATGCGGTTGTCACAAAAGATCGCGACGTTCTTGAGCAAGGCAGCCAGGCAGCCTTCATGTCGTGAGAACAGCTGACAAGCACGATCGGTGTCGTAACAGAAATCGATCATTTCGAAGTAGCCGCGTGCGTCCACCTCACGTTACCAGGAGTCTTATACAGACTGACTTCCGCCGCGCGGAGCGTGCTTTGGCAGGGTGCGTTGCTGAATCACCAGCTCGTGCGTCACGCTTCTCGTTACGCTTCGAACTGGCCAGCGGTGAGTTCGGTGGCAGCAAATGATGCCAGCCAACTCCTCCGCGGCCTGATGAGATCCTGGCCGGGACGGTGTTTGGCTTCGCTTGATTGGCGCCGCCGCCACTTCCGCCCGGCTCTCGCCAGCTTAGGCCGTCAAAAGCGACCCGCTCGATTGCTTTCAGCAGGTGCCGGAGTTGGATGATCAGGGGCCGGGCCTCGTCCCACCAGCGTGCCGCGAACGTCTCCGGAGTTGGCAGGCGCAGTCGCTTACGTGGGTGATATTGTGGCGAGGAGGCTGACGCACTGAATGGGAATAAGCTGGCGGGAGAACCGCTATGCCCCGAGACACTTACAGCGATGTCAAAGCAGCCGCGATGTGTTGATTGGACGGAGTTTGATAGCGATCCCTGTCACGCTTATTGTAGGGACGCGGCCCTGGCACGGGGGTATGTCCCGCCACGTCTCGTCCGTGCCATGCGTCGTCGTTCGTCACGCCGTCCACGAGAGGGTGTCCGTTCGTCGCGTTGCGTGCCACGCCGGCCCGGCCACGCCCCTACCTCACGCCATTGCTTCACGCCGGCTGCCTCCTTTCCAGAGCGGCGCAGAAGACGTCAAACGACACAGGTGGTTCAAAAATACCAATTGGGAGGAGGTTTACTACAGAAAACTCAAGGTGAGATCAAAAGTGCCCGCGCGCCTCGCGGAATCTCGAGCACTGCTGACGATGAACACTGCGTGGGAGAGTTGCGAGAGCTACGGATGCTGGGAGCTTACCCAATCTCCGCAGCTCTGGGTGCTTACCCCATCACTCGATGTCGGGAAGAAAACTTACATACGTTTTTGTGATCTTTCCTGTGCTTTTATTAAAACCCCGCACGTCTTTGGTGAGTCCCCTTACGTGGTATGGTGGACTTTTCTAAAATTATCGGGGAAAAAGAACGTCAGTTGCGAAAGCGTTGGTGTTGTCGAGAACACGCTGGCACAGAACACTCTGAGCGTCGCCGGGCCTCGCCGGCCATCGACCACTGCCCTGACCGGCGCCTCTGTTGCAGCCGCCCATCGTACCCAAAGTATCGTACGACGGCGACACGCGGAACTTTGACGACTACCCGGAGACGAACTGGCAGAAGGCGCCGGCCGCCAGCGAGAAGGACATGCGACACTTTCTCGACTTCTAGCGAGGTGCAGCGGGTGTGCAATGGACCTGGCCATACGGCCACGACTGTGTGGCGTGCGCCGGCGTGTCGAGCCGCGCCGTGCCGTGCCGTGCCGGGCCGGGCCGTGTCGTGCTGGGCCGGGCCGGGCCGGGCCGAGCCGTGTCGTGTCGGCCGGACGCTGGGAGGCGGCACGTCAACACCGCATGAGTGGCCCGCCACCCAGTTCGTCGGCGTTTGGTCGATGGCCGGCAGGGTCACGACCCCGGCGTGCCGTGGGCCGACACCGGCCGCCCCACCGCCGGCAGCGGTCGTGACCTGCCGTGACCTGCCGTGACCCCGCCCCGGCGGCCCGAGTCGAGGACACTGTTGCCTGGCTCAGCTGGAGCGCCGCTCCCCCGTGGTGCTCTGGCGACCGTGGCGCGCGTGTGGGAGGCGGTGGCGCCTCCGGCGCTGGCACGGTCCGTCCGCGGGACGAGCGGTCAGAGTTCGCGCGCCATGTGGTTCGCAGCCGGCTGGGATTGGTCGGCCGAGGTGCTTCCGCGAGTGATGCCTATTTATATCCCCTCGGGCGACGCGTTCCGTGTGGTCAGTTGACGTTTGTAGCGGAGTATGTTTAGACAACGGCTAGGACTTACGTGTTTCCTGCGACAATACCGCGCTGTCCCGTGATGCCAACAGACTGAAGAATAAGCTGTGTAAATGGAATTTATGTGCATGTGTCAGTCTGTACATATTACGAAGTGCGCACGCAATACCGAGTATCCGTTACGGGGAGGGGGATTGTGAGGAAAGCCGTGTTGCGCCACGTTGGCTATTCGCTTCGGAGTTCCGTTGGCCAGCTCCCACTTGGTTCACACGGCTGGCTGGCGCCGTCCGCTCTGGGCCCCGCGCCCAGCGCTGAGAGCGCAGACCGGGCCGGGTTGGCGTGCGTCCCGCACCGTCTACAGCGCTTCGCACCCCACCGCTTATCGGCACGCGCCGAGGCTTACCGCGCGCTCCGTCCGGCCGTCGGGGAGGGGAGGGGGAGATGGGCTGCGCAGTGCGGCCGGAGCCGGCGGCCAGCTGGCGACCGCCGGGACAGCTGGGGTTGGCCGCCGGCGCCTTCAATTAGTGTCGTCTGGTTCACCGGTGTCGGGCGCCCCAACGCCGGGCTGGCCAGCTCCGATGCGGTCCCCCGGCGCTCACCAAACAGGGCCGGCCTCCTCCTCTCTGCCCGCGCTGGGACAGAACGCGCTGGAGTGGGCATCGGCGGCGTGACCATACGTTGATGCTATTCTCTAGCCCATGCCGTTAGAAGGCGCATATTGAGATGACCTGGACTAGTCTCGTGTCCGTTTATTTCGTTACTCGTGTGAGCGCTCAGCCCTTGAACCGTACCAGGATCCGCAGATGACGGTCTCGCAGATCGCCATCGCAGACGCAGACGGCGATCTCGACTTAGGGCACCAGCTCAAATAGCTTGCACCAGAAGGCGAAGGGCGTTACAAGATGCCACCTGCACGCTCGGACGCATCAGATGCTTCGTAAGCCAGCGGTTGCAGAGGTCGGATCGGCCACGTGGCGGCGGGGCGGTACGGACCGCACGGCCGTCGACGCCATGCCGCGGCACCTCGGCGTGTCCGGCGGGGCTCTCAGATCCCCTCTCGCCGACTGTAGCTTCGCCTTCACTGCGCCGCCGCGGCCGAGGCCGCCGGCCGGGAGGCGCCGTGAGCAGGCGCAGCAGACGGCGGGGCGGTCCGCTGGTGACGGCTGCTCAGCCTGGCGCCCAGCCACAGCGTCCTGCGATGTGCCAAAATGTGCGCAGCGTACGCTCGCCGCCGGACGGCGCGCAGAGGTCAGGGGGAAGGGGAAATGTCAACCGGGGGCCAGGGTGCTAGCTGACAGGCCGACGTCGCCGCCAGCCCGGCGTTTGTTCTTTTTACGGTCGGACTCGCTGAGGGCCTCAATGGAAAGTTCGGGGTGACCCTGAACAGATCCGACAGACAGGAAACCCAGCGTGACAAGTCATCAGCAGAGCATATACACAGGCCCCAGGCCCAGAAGCGCGCGGTACCCACTCGGCACGAGCCGGGCGCCGCTTGGCGGCCCCCGGTATGATAACCGGGACGATCCGCGTTCTGGGTGCGGGAATGGTGGCCCCCGAACAGGCTCCTCGCGGGCACGTGCCCGCGAGGAGCGGCGAACCGTCAGTCCGATGTATGTCCGGTTCTCCTCAGTGCGGGCGTGTGGGGTCGCCAGCGCGGCATCACCGTTGATACAGGGCCTCCCCACCCCGCCCCAGCCGCCACGCTGCGCAGCTTGGAGCCCGCAGGCACCTGAGACGCAGGTACCTGAGACGCCGGCGCTGTGCGGCCTTCACGTGCCAGTGTCGACAGATTGTAAATAAGCCTGGTACGCGGATCGGCGGCGTGCGCCCACCTACCGGAAGGTTCCGTGCCAGTCGCGTTGTCAGGAGCTCAGCTGTGAGTCTGTGGATGTGTTCAATTTTTGAATAAAACATATTTATCGAGGCGTGTATTCCATAAGAGGCGTCGAACAGCGTTGGCAACAACAGCGTCGGCGTTGACGGGCAAGGCGCATCATCGATGTGGTGTGGGGGCGCATCAGCCCAGCCGGCGGCGACAGAGGCGGGCGAGGGGGGATCGGACGCTGACCCGGTACAAGTCTGGTCACACACCTCATGCAACCCGTGGGGGCGCGGCCCCTCGCGCCGATTCAGCTACACCCGCAACGCGAACATAAAGAAAACCAATGTCAGGAGAAGAAACGCACGGCGCGGCTGCTGCGGCCGGCGGATGTTTCGGCGCGCGGTCGGCGGCTCGGGACGCGCGGGCGGCACCTCCTACAACTCACTGGGTTGCTGGTTTCGCCGCTACTACGCTCGCCAGCCAGCCCGCAGATCGGCGCGCCTCGTACAAACCGCACAAAATGACGTACAAAGGCGAACGAGCGGCAGCTGCGGAGGACGGGAGCCGGCGCGCCGCTCAGACGAACGTAAGCCGGGTGCGGCCTTGGTTCAGCATCCACACGTTCAGGTCCTGGTAGCTGTCGAGGCACTGCTCGATCTGGTCGGGCGTGAAGCCCTTGCTGGCGCACAACTCCTGCACGTCGGCCAGCCGCACCGTGCCGGCCACGCCGGCCAGCCCCTTCACCAGCTGCGGAGCGGGGCGGGGAGCAGAGCGTCAGACGGGAGTGTCCTGGCCCACCGAGGAGAGCAGGCGACGCACGTCGCACCTCCGAGACCATGCGGCACACGAGCTCCGACCGACGCCTTGCGTCAGCTGCATCCGCCGCACGGCGGCGGTCGGCTGCGCCAGAGAGCGCTCTCGCACTAATGGTCGTGCCAGCTACAGGAGTCGATAAACAACCAGTCCAGCGCCGTAGATGGACCGCCCGGCTGCGGCCGACACTCGGTAATCGGATGGGACAAAACGCCTTTACGGGTGGACGCGGCATGACGCAGCCAGCGAGCGCTCCGTGCGCATAGCGCAGCAACTAAATACGATATCGCGTACGTCTTCCTACAGTTGCGCTGCATCCCTCGGGGGCCAGGCATGCCCAGGCTGCGAACGAGTTCTAATAGGCAAAACCTTTTGGGACGAAGAAACAAGTCCGTTAGACATGTAAACCACATTGCCGCGTACCACCCCGGCAGCGACAAATATGCTACTTTACCTCGCAAACGCATATTTAACATGCGTACTATAAATGGGCATTTCCAGGCGAAATTCAAAAGTTTCTCCGTCCAACCCAGCCGACAGCGATGTAATTACTCTAGCTGGCAAACGCAGTTTTCCCAAGAGATACGGGCAGTCCACGAATCAATTACGGGGCGGCGCGTTATGCATGTCAGGTGAAATGGCTTTAGCCTCACAGATACGTTGCCCTCTGATCTGTGACGACCTGATCCCTACGCCGTGCGTCTGCAATCCAGGCCAAATGGAAAAACAGCAATCCCGGCTGGATGGAAAACCACGCAGCGTGCAAATTTCGATTTATTCCTTCACATGTTCCTTGATTAGCTTCAAGATTCTTGAGATGATATCGTGCGTGCCCTTCCCTCTAAACGGGCATCAAAAGCGAGCCAAAAACACATGCCAATCTCCGTTCTCCCATGGATATGCCTTACCCAGCTCGACACCTTCATCAGTGCTTCCACGAACTATCCCCAATAGCGGCGACAGAAAGTTCCAGCAGGACTCACACAAGACCAGTTCCATCACGCACTTCACCAACGAGAAAGCATTGCAAACCTCAAAGATGGCGTTGGCGGTAGAGACGGGTGCGCGGCCTCTCTACGTCGCAGTTCAGCGAGTCCTTGGACTTCTCCAGCAGCCGCATGGCCTCGTTGACGTCCTCCTTCTCCACCGTGTCCACCAGACGGAGCCGGGCCAGCGCCGTGGACAGGCGAAGTATCGCCAGCAAGTTGCGAGCCGAGGTGAACGTCATGTCCTTGTTGTTGCGGGCTTCGCGACGCAGCTCGACGTACGCGCCTGCGAGGGCGGGGGAGGCGGCGCCGTCAGCGATGCGAGGCGGCGGTAAGACCGCCGGGAGCGAATGCCGAGGTTCGACACACGCGCTGGGGAATGGAGGATGGGGGGGGGGGGGGGGGAGGAGTGTGGTCACCGATAAGCCAGGCATCTGTGGGGCACGAGGATAGCCCGGCAATACTCCCGGGCGAAGGTCACGCAGAGAACCCAGAGGGAATACCCGGCACACCAGCTCTAGGGACCGGCGAGGGCTAGGATGCTGATGGAGCCTCCTGTCTCGCACCCCACGACAGTGTCACCAAGCCTGCCAGAATATGTGCGCCATCCCGTCCACATACAGCGAACGCACGAGCTTAAGCCGTTCGTTGAACTACTGCAACTGGGGGGAGGGGAGTGGGTAATGATATCGCCAGGTCACTTCAACCGGCGTGGGCAACGATGCTGACGAACGCCAGATATCGAGCAAAACACGCCTGTAGTCAGCATGCGCGCCGCAGCCGCGCCGACCTTGGCGGCCGGGTGGCTGGGCCTCCGCCGTCTCCGCCGCCGGCGGGATCAGGCTGGAGGTCTGGGTCGATGTCCACGTCGAGTCAGGGCATGATCAAGAGCGGAATCGGGACCCGGGGGCGGGATTACGGGCCGGGATCGGGGTCGGGATCAGGGTCGGCACTGTCGACGGCGCCGTGATCTGGGCGGGCCGTCGGCGTCGGAGCCGGATACTCACTGACGAGGTACTCGGCCAGACTCTCCGGCACGCGCGGGCTGCTTGCGCCGGCACAGCGCCACGTAGCGCCGGATGAGCCGCATGCTCAGCGGCTCGAACTGCGTCGGCGGCTGCACGCAGTTCTGGTGCACGTACGTGATGTGCTGGGCCAGCCTGCCGACGGACGGTCAGAGGGTCATCCGGCGCGGCGGGCGGGCCGGTAGGCGTACGGGCGAGCGAGCGGACAGCCCCCGGCCGATGGCCACGAGCGAGGCGCGACCGGAGCCAGACATCACGGTCAGGTATCGCACTGTGGCGAGTGTTACACCACATGCGATACGACGTCGGTGTCCCGGACCAGCCCAGCGCAGCACCCAGTGTTGCTGGTGGCATCACCTCACACCTCATGTCAGCCTTGCATCATGACATCCAGTCGGAGCATTGCCAGACGGAAGTCACGCGGCCAGCGCCCGGGAACCCCCGGGGAGACGACCCCCCCCCCCCCCGGAGCCCGTTCCGGCGCCTGACCTGAGGTCATTGTCGCGGTCGGCCTTGTCCATGAGCAGCCAGAGCAGGTCGAAGCGGGACAGCAGCGCCGCCGGCAGCTGGATGTTGGCCTCCACTGAGCGCTTGGGATTGTAGCGGCCGTAGGCCGGGTTGGCGGCCGCCAGGATGGAGACCCGGGCGTTCAGTGACGTCATGATGCCCGCCTGAAATCCAGCACGGGGCGCTGTCAGCGCCGGCACACAAGGTCAGCGGCGGCACGCGGCCCCGTTCCAAACGGGGCGCGAGCCACTGGCCCGTCGCTCTTCCTAAACGGACGTGAGTGCGATTGTATCGCAGGCAATCGGTTTGTCCAAATCGCCCCACGAGCCGACTGGTCGGGATCACGGGGCCGTGCCAACTCGGTGCTAAGCGCTGGAAGCGAATTGGCAGCGAGAAATGGAAAGAGGAACAGGCAGCCGGCGTAGAAATGAAAGCGTAGTCGTCGTACCAACGTCATCTCGCATTCAGGGTGAGAACCGCTTCGCATGTGCGACTGGTTCATGCTTGTCACAATACAATACGTGCGCTAAACGGCCAAACCAACGTTGTTCGCGCCAACGGCCAAACCGTGGACGTTTCCGTCGATTGATTCCTAGAAGCACAGCCGAACTTAGCCCGCGCTTTCGCGCAAGAGAAATGTGCGTCACATCCTCCGCCAGCGGCCACCTTTCGGACCGGACAATCGACTCCGACAGGCGGGCCGCGGGGGTGGAGCCGCGGCGTCCGGCGGCGCCGCCGTTTGGCTTGGCGGGGCGTGGCGGCCCGCCGGAGCCGCCCCCGGGCGTCTAGTCTCCGGCGGCGGCTGCGGCGAGCCTCAGACGGCGCCTTGATGTGCCGTCCGCGCCAGCCACATCACCGGCGCCATGAGTCAGCCGGCGCCTCACAAAGGCGGTCAGCCATCCTGTCTGAGCGCCTGTTATCGGCCGCCCGGCGGGAGTTCCGCTGTTTACAGTGCCGGAAGCGGCCCGGCAGCAGCCGGCCGCGGCCGCCGCGCGCCAGGAGAGCACCCACCGACGCGCCGACGGTTCTCACCAGGACGTGGCCGCGTTCTCATCCCATCGCCCGGCCGTGATTAAATCACCGTCAAATTCACTCCGAATCGATGACGATGGTCGCGCGCCGACGGAGACCGAGGGTGATAACCCTGCGCCACCTCTGCCACATCGGCGAGCCGGCGGCGGCCATCGGACAGACCAGCGCAGAGACTCGGGCGGGTGGCGGGCGGCCGACCGCACCGCCGCTGCGGGAGGCCGCGGAAGCTCCAGCCGCCGGCCACATCCACCAGCGCGCGTGGCCACAGCGCACTAAGGCTCTTCTGTTCTCCGAAAAGTCACGATGAACCTTTGTCCGACGCGATCGCAGCGCGACACATCCGTGTTTTCTGTTTACGTCATCGTAACTTTCGTGACAATAACTGCGCATGGTGCGCGTACCACGCGTCCCTTTAACAATGGAAACTACAAATTATGCTGTTTGTAATGCATAACACACCTTTTCATCGTCCGCGGGGGTCCCAGGCGCCAAGATTGACTTGTTTATGATTGAACCAGTTGCGCCATTTCTGTCTAGCTTCAATCAAGTGACGGAAATAAGTTCTGCGCGTCCGACAAGGATCATGCGTGACGTCACGTATGCTGATGATGGTCGAAGTTTTAGGGTGCGCCGACTGCGATGGTTATTTTGCGCCGTGAGGCCACGTAGACTCTTTGTCATCTGGATTGGTCCAATTACATCTATACCACGCTTTTTCGTTACGGTGCACAGTTAACTGCGCAGATATGACACGGATATCAAATGGACTGAATAAATGGTTCAACACCGCTCGATGAAATTTACAGCACGGTGCATCTCAAAACAAGCATGTCGCATTCGCGCTACCAAAAACCTACCCGTACACCCACGTCAATGGGACTTCATCACGCAACCAGGTGCTGATGCTCTACGGCATCACCCGCCTCTCCCCCTGCCAGGAAGGACAGACATCGCGCTGGATGTCGGCGCGACCCAACCCGCAGTAAAGAGGTGTCCTCAACAACCGGTGAGCATACTGATGAGCGGGAGTACTGACCGTGCGTCTTACGCAACGCACACTTCAACCCCGCACGCGTGCCCACACAGCAGGCGGATGTCGACGGCCACCCCGTCCTGACGTTACTGCAGGCGCAACGATGTCCAATATTGCTCTGGACCCATCGTGAAACAGGCTGAAAGCGCCGTATTGCGCAGCGCACGAGCTTTAACGTGCTACTGGTTTTAATCAATGCCGCAAGCACAGCTGTAAGCTCTGATTAAGGCCCACAGCTTGTATAAAAAGCAGGTTAAACTGGCTTTAATTTCGGCTCTGAGTCCGGGCGGGACGGCCCCGACAGGTCAGATAAGACGCGCGGTCTGATGGCACCGCGCCGGTAACGCCCGTCAACAGTCACAACGCCGTTAGCCCCACCCCGAGAGCCCGACAGAATAAGAACGCTCGGGACCAATCTGTGACCGCGGGAGCCGGCCGGTCCTGCTCAGCAGCCGGCGGACCTAGAAGCCAGCGCCAGCTCCAGCTCTCCGCCAGCCTCAAGAGCGCCATGGAGCGTGGCCCAGTGCGGATCGCGTTCGAAGAGGCCAGGCAGCAGTTCTCGCGGCTGCTGGAGCAGACACCGCTCAGCGGCGCCCTTCTGGCCGCCACGTTCGCCCAACTGGAGGCATGTCTGGCGGCCGGCGAGCGGCTGCAGGAGCGCCAGTGGCGCCACCTGCGGCGTCGCCTGGCCGCCCGCTGGCGCCGCCACAGCCAGGCCGCATGCCAGCCGCGCCTGCAGCAGCTGGCGCACCACCGCCGACTGCTGGCCGAGCAGCAGCCGCGCCTGGACGACCTGCTGGCCGAGGCGCACCGCCAGCTGGAGCGGCTGGCCGAGCCGCCCTCCGACCTGCCCAGCCGGCTGCAGCGCAAATGGGACAGCATGATCGCAGTGGACGCGGACGGGGACGACGCTACTCCGCCGCCGGCGCCGGACGAAGACGCCGCTGCTCCGCCGCCGGCCACGGACGGAGACGCCGCTGCTCCGCCGCGCACCCTGAAGCCGTGGCTGATCGAGGGCCTGACACTGGCTGAGACGTGCGTGAAGGGGCGCCTGCTGGAGCGGCTGCGCCAGCTCGAGTCGCAGCTGGACTGGCTCCGTAGCCAGCGCGACACCCAGTACCGGCCGGCCTGCGACTACGGCCACTGCCTGCGTCGCTTCCTCACCTGCACCGAGAAGACGGCACACAGCACCAAAGAGCTCATGAAGGTGAGGCTGCCGTCTGCCGTTCAGGCAGGGGTCAGTTCAGTCGCGTGAGGCGGATCTTGAGCCGACCTCCCCGGCAGCAAACCAACAGCTTCGGGTCCAGCTCCCGCCCAGAGGAACGCATAATGAATTGCTTAGCGTGATGTACCAAAGAATCGCAACTGGCAAATCCTTTCCAGGTCAAAAGTATTTTCAACCTATGCAACTGCGTGTTACCTATGCTGCACGCCGTATGCTGTATATGTAGGGCGAGCATCGTACGCGCCTCACTGGGGTTTGCATTACAGGCTAGTCATTGGGGCTGACCCATACCCACGACTTCGCACGACACATTGTGTATAAGTGTGCTTCGTGGACATAAAGTTATCTCTTCAAGCAACAAAATCGAATACAAACCTGTAAAATACATCAACACCGTTGAGTGCGTAAAACAGGCAACCAAATTGACAAGCCATGGAAGCTGTCCCCTAACCCCACGAGCCCGGGCTCCAACGGCGTCGGATGTCACACGTCCCGGTCGCCCGGCAGGCGCGCGCTGACGTACGCCTGCACGCGGCCTGGGTACGCGAGCACCACCACCGGCTGCGTCGTCCGCCACCGGCGGCGACGACGACCGACGCGTCCGACTGCGGCGCCTCGGCCGAGCTGCGCCACTACGACGAGCAGCTGGAGGAGGGCGAGCCGGGCCCGGCGCCGGCAGACAGCCAGCCACGCGTCGACCGCACCGCCGGGCCGCCGCCGCTCGACGAGAAGCTGCTGTACGCGCGCCTCGACGCCGACGAGAGCCGCGCCCTGGTGGCGGCCGCCGCGGAGCGCGGCTGCTGGTACCCGGTGGAGTTCGCGCTGGCGCACGACCGGCTCACGCTCACCGCCGACTGCGTGGTGGCCATGTTCGTGTGCTGCCGGTGCCGCGGCCGCTGCAGCTGCCAGTGGACGCGGCTGGCGCTGGCCGCGCAGCGCCGCGTGCCCGAGCGGCCGGCGCGCAAGCGCGGCTGGGGCTGGCGCAAGATGCGCATGGCCACGCAGCTGATCCGGCTGCTGCACAGCTCGCAGCTGGAGGTCTGATGTTCGCCGGCGTCGCGCTCTCCGCGCCCCGACGCGCGGTAAATCAACGGAACCGAGGACGGGGCGGAGGCTGACAGGCGACGGGCGACACGGCGGCCAGCAGCTGTGAGCCGACCGGCGGCTCGCCAGAGGGAGAGATGGACCCTGGACACACTCCGCAGGGCGTCTAGCCCAACTGATTTAATGCGCACACAAAGGGAATGAAGTCTAGAGAACATATGTGCCATTCATACCATAAGTAACTCCCTAACGGACCTGGTCCCATTCCAGCTAAGTCTTCTATGAGTTCTAAGAGCCGTCGACTGCGTGAGATCAATAATGCCATAAAAACCTTTATCTTAAATAAATATAATTCAAACCTTGAAACGTTGATCACCTTAAGTTCCACAGCATGGCTGCACAAACCAGCCTTCAACGCATTCTCACCTACGGACGAGGCTAAAAAAAAAACACTGTTCGAAAGTCCGCAGCCCTGACTGCTCGCAAAGCGGCGCCGCCCGCCCGTGGTGACCTGACCTTAGCGATGGAGATGGTCTGCTGTTCCATGACCTCGTGAATGGCGGTACGGTCGTGGTCGGCCATCTTGTCGAACTCGTCGATGCAGCAGATGCCCTGGTCGGCCAGCACCAGGGCGCCGCCCTCTAGCACCATTTGGTCGGTGAGCGGGTCCTTCATGACGGCCGCCGTGAGTCCGACCCCCGACGAGCCGCGACCCGTCGTGTACTGGCCTGCGGGCAGAGCGGGCGGAGCGGTCAGGCGAGCAGCGCCTCCTGACCATGTGGAGCGGGCGGAGCGGGCAGAGCGGGCAGAGCGGTCAAGCCAGCCGGGTCTCCTGACCGTGTGGAGCGGGCGGAGCGGTCAGGAGAGCCGCGCCACTTCATCAAACGTGCCGCTTTCAGAGCGAACGGAGCCACGTAACCAGACATGTCGAGAGCAGAACAATACGCAGCCAAAGGGCGCTTGTCAGCATACGGTTAAAATAAATCAAAACAACGACAGCACGCACCCGACGTGGGCACGATATAAGCATTGGAAGTTCCGCGGTCGGCACGACCTGCCGGGCGCGAAATGTGTCGAAGTGCTGGCACGCGAGCCAAGCCGGCGCGCCGGTGGGGAGGACTCACTGCGGGGAGCCAGACGGTCGATATAGCCGAGCAGCTGCGACTTGGCCACGCCCGGGTCTCCCATCAGGCATATGTTGATGCTGCCGCGGATCTTCATGCCGTTGGGGTTGGTGTCGACGCCGCCGACCAACAGCAGCAGCAGCGCCTTCTTGACGTCTTCCATGCCAAAGATCTCCGGCGCGATCGACTGGGCCAGCTTCTCGTAGAAGTCGTCCTGCGAGACCAGTCGGATCTCGTCCTCGGTCAGCAGGTCACAGTCGGCCTCGTCGTCGTCCGTCTTGTTCATCTGGATCAGCCGCTGCCGGACGGAGTGGGACGGCGTCAAGCGTCGGCTGACGGGCCCCGGTTGACAACGGTGGCGCCGGACGGAGGGGGATGGGGCGCCGGCTGACGGGCCCAGGCCGGCCCCGATGGCGCCGGACGGAGGGGGATGGGGCGCCGGCTGACGGGCCCCGGTTGACACCGGTGGCGCCGGACGGAGGGGGATGGGGCGCCGGCTGACGGGCCCCGGCCGGCACCGGACGCACGACGCACAGGTCAGTCAGTGGTGACGACCGCCAGACAGTGTGCAAGTCATCACCAGTGGTTGCCACCTAGCAGCCATTGGCCCGCCATTGTTGACGAAGCCATACGACACAAACGTAATGCAAGGCAGTTAGCGTTCGTGGCACCCTTGACGCGCACGCACTGGTTACTCCGAGTAAATCGTGCCGGCAGCTATAATCTTTGTCCCCCCCCCCCCCTCCTTTGCATCCCTCCCTGACGTTTTCGCCATGCGTTAATACCAGTAGCGCAACAGCCATCAATATGTGAAACTACCACCGCTAAACAAATAACACAAACTGTTCTCAGTGACGGAAAAGGCCGCCGATCAGCAGCAGCCCCGGACACCGCCACCCGACTGGCCTCCGCAGCGGCCCAAGCCGGACACGGGCACGGGCCGGCCGTCAGCCAGCGGCCTGCACTCACGTGCGCGTCCATGTACGTGTCGCTGAGCAGGCCGGCGGTGAGGGCAGCGAAGCCGGCGGCGCGCGCCACGGGCAGGAAGATGCCCGTCACGGCCACGTGGTCGCCGGGCTGCGTCAGCCGCGTCAGCTCGCCGCGGCACACGATCGTCATCGAGTCAGCGGGGTGGGATGTTGCCCACCGGCACCTGGTCGCTCTGTCAAGCGGGGAGGGACGTCGGTCAGCGGCGTGGGATGTTGCCCACCGGCACCTGGTCGCTCTGTCAAACGGGAGGGCACGTCGGTCAGCGGGGTGGGATGTTGCCCACCGGCACCTGGTCGCTCTGTCAAGCGAGGAGGCACGTCGGTCAGCGGGGTGGGATGTTGCCCACCGGCACATGGTCGGTCTGCCGAGCGGGGCAACGCGGCAGTCAGCGGCGCGACCACGCTGCTCCATCGGCGAGTTGGCCGGGCGGGGGTCAAGCTGCGGAGTTTTACAACGGGACCCGGCCGTGAGCCGAGACAATGGCCGCTCTAGGGCAGACGGAGGGCCGAGCAGGCGGGTGAGCGCGTCAATCAGTGGAGCGGGGTCACGGGCGGCGGGCCGCGGCGCTTAAACGGGTCTTGCGAAGTGGATAACGGCAGTCAGACCCGAGGTCAACTGCAGGCAGAGGGCGGTAGACACAGCGAAGGGAACGGAGGAGAGACATGCTTACATCTGGTCATTGCCCACCTTACGATGGCGGCCAGACCATTCTAGAGCCGTTCAGAAGCCGACAAATCACAGACCACATGGATCGCCCAAAGCATCAACGGTCCGACCAACAGCCAACGGTCTAGACCCCTTTAGCTAATCGTCATGCAGCGAAACGTGTCAGACCCGTATCCATATCACGTACAAATAAATGTCGCCATCGGCAACACAGTCGTCATTTCCGAGCAACTAAGCGAAAGGTCGCTGCCGTGCGCCGAGCTCGCCACGTCGCGGCACGAACTCACGTGTTCCTGGATCTTGATCTCCTGGAACTTGACGAACTTGGAGCCGCGCGACTGCACGTACAGCCGGCCTCCGGACTTGTTGACGCGGCAGTCCTCGCTGGGACACATCAGCAGCGGCATGAAGGACGGCGAGTTGATCTGCGCCACCAGGAAAAACACAGCGGCGAACGCGTCAGCAAACGGCTCTCCGCCGGCGCGTAGCCGGATGTGATGTAGGATGTGCATGTGACGCAAGATAACACATCTTAACACATAACACAGGCAAGCCGCCGTAGCATGGCCATCGGCGAGTAGTCTATCGGACGTAAACGTCATTAACTAATCAACGGCATCCTAATCGCGAAAACGGCATCGCATGACCCCAGCGATAATCGCGACATGCATCGGGCACTCACATCATGATGGCAGGCCGAATAACTGGACATGCTCTGGCGTTGGCATCATCACATACACGGACTGTCTGGGCGCTACGGCCGACGGGCAGCGCGGCTGGACGGCACGGAGCACTCCGTCACTCATACAACACGGCCATCCGAACTACACGGACCCTCGCCGATCACCAGGCAATCAGCAGATAGCCTGTCTGGATGCCGTGCTAGGCGCGTCGCTCAAGTGCCGTCTACAGGGGCGTGTCTCGCCGACGGGGGGAGGGCGGGGGAGGGCGGGGGAGGGGGGGGGGGGGGGGCTCACCGGCTGGTACGTCTCGGCGCCGCACTGGTCGCACGTGTAGGTGGCCACCTGCAGCATGGGCTTGACCTCGGTGGCCCGCGTCACGATGCCCTTGACCTGCACCAGCTTGCCGATGTGCTCGGCCTTGATATCGCGCACGGCCACGTGTTTGGCGGTCGCCGGCAGTCGGAACACCACCTCGCTGCAGACACGGCCGCGCCAGGTCAGGCCATGGCAGGTCATGGGAGGCCCTTCCGGCGGTCAGAGGGTCGACGAGGGGCCGCATCCCGACAAACATATGCTTTTGACTAATCGACACACGTGCTGAGCCGTGCTTAACGCCAGCGGCAGCATTTCAACAAATGCCACTCAAAGCAACGAGGAGAAAGCTCAAAACCTGACCGAACACACCAAGTCACGGTGCGTCGTTTTAGATTCGAGCCAACAACACAGTGTCATGTCTGCCCGTGTCAGGCAGACTGGCCAGCGCGGCTGACCAGCCGGAACACTCACAATCTGCGCATCAGCTCGGAGGGGTACTTGTTGCGCGGGTCCCGGCTCTCGCCCGGCTGCCGCAGCCGCTCCTCCATCAGCATGCGGTGCTCGATGTAGACGTCCAGCGCGTCGCGGGCCGCCACCTGTCAACGCCCCAGGTGCCGTCACAGCCACAGCCGGGCCCGCAGGCGGCGCGGCGCTGGGTACGGCCACGCGAAGGTGGGCTCAAACGGCTTGTGCAGACGGGGCTGGTGTGGACAATCGTGTACAGTATTCACCGAATGGTGTCAACTGGAGCACACGATATCCTCGCTTGTTACCGATCTGAGAGTTAGTGTCAACTGGAGCACACGACATCCTCGCTTGTTGCTGACCTCCTGCGAGCCAAACTCGCTCAAGCTGAAGTTCGATTCTTTGGGTCAACACAACACTGACCTCCCTTGTCTTGTACTCCGGCAGGAGGTCGTACACCACATCGGAGAACAGAAGGGTATAACGGCGGGCATTTTCGACCACGGCCTCAGACAGATCCTGGTCGTAGCCCTCTGAAAAGAGCCACCGTCATTTCCTATGTAGTCCTCTCCACCATGCTTACAGTAACAGGACCCAGTTCAATGGACAGGGCCTCCCCAGTCAAAATTATTTGCAACGTATTCCATAATATGGTCTAACACAACACCCAAATTATGAAACCTCAGAATTTCAGGATTTTGTTTGGGGGTGAGGGTTGGGGATCAAAGGCCTACATTCAGGAATAAACCCTTTGTTCAGTCTCATAAGACCATCACACTTCTGATAAAACTGACCCAGCCAAGCCCAGACACATCCGGCTCCATCAGAACAAAAAAGAGTCAATCCCCCATGACTCCGCACAAATTCTGTTGATCATGAGGTCAATTCTGATTCTATGCCCAGTCCATCAGCAGCCTGTTAGCCAAATCAATAATACATCATTGCCACTACAACTAGATTGATGACAGCACACCAGTACCCTCGCCAATGGGCACATGGTTCCAGTTGATGTCACACAGGCCTTCAAGGACTTCCTACATGACAGATCTCTTACCGACATCATCCAGGTCTATGGTGAGCAGAACCTGTTCGCGGTGAGCCAGTGCTGTCAGCTGGCGGGCATACTTGAAATCCTTTTTGCGGCCCTCCTTCACGTGGAACTCGACCAGAAACTGGCGAATTTTGGCTGAAACAGAGAATGGATTACCACATACATACTATAGCAGCACATGTGCGGCAGTACAGTTTGCAGGTGTCATGTGGGGTAGGTGGTTTCATGATCGCTTTGATATAAGAAGTGAACATTTTCTTCTGCTTTGGATCTGTTTAAAGACCTGTTAATGCCAGATTATGGCAAACCACACTGCAAATTAACCATGTGAATTAAGCATGCCTCATCACATTACCCGCAGAATATTCAATTTCCTCTGCCTATTAAGTATTCCAATTTTGTACCTTTAGTCTGGGACCATCCAAGCAGAACAAAAAGTTTGCGCGGCCCACAACAAATATGTGAGGTCACATTCAACCAAAGGCATGAAGCTTTCACCACAAAGTGAAATGAGCTCAGTGTACAAGTTTCATGACATCAGTTGAAGTACCTACTGTCTGATTCATCCAAATGCAGCCTCAGCATATGATTGATGGAATGAACTGTGAACATATTAGATACTAGCATTAAAGTGACTGATGTCATGTCTTTAGCTTGCCATCTGTCTAACCAAACACCATTTTCTCAACATGCAATTATTGGTGAATGTGATAGATCTGTTCATTGAGGCCCATGATGAACAGTGGCATACAAGCTAATGGTGAACATCAATGAAGAAACCAATCTAAACCAACCATGGGCAGTAATCCATAACCTTAGCTAACCTGTGGCTAGCTTCATCAAATTATAAGAACAATAAGATGTCTTGGGGTTTCTGGTGGCATCATCAAGAGCAGGCAAACATAGTTCACTACATGGTATTTCTGGTCTTCTGATGAAATCAGTGATCACAAGCAAAATTTGGGAAGTTTGACTTTTACTTGGCTAAGTGGTATGCAGCTGTCACATGGCATATGGCAAAGACCTCAATGCAAAGATGCACCACATTTGCTGATAGCCTGCAGTGTTATGAAGCTTTCAGTAAAAAGATACAGCTTACCAATCATTCACTACATAAAATTTTACTTGACAGAAGTGCAAGACTACCACAATCATAGTTAGATGGTACTGTAGCAATACATTCATGATGCACCCATATACATGTATGAACAAAATAATGCACATCTAACACCACAAGACTCACACAATATGCTCACAACACATAAGATGCAGACAATAATGATGAAAATACCTTGCAAACTAAACTAAGACAACAGTTTTTTCAAAGCAGGGCTATTAATGAAATCATATTTCATGCCATAAAAGGATGAATAAATGCATGTCACAAAACAGCAAAACACAAAGCAACAAAAAATATTGTTTTGGAAGCACATGCCAGACTGCATGATCCAAATTACACCAAAAAAAGTGCAGAACAGCACCAACATCACAATGATGCAAGCATGACTCCTAGCACTGAGAGCTTGGTAAATGGCCACCACCTATTTCAGAGCAGAGCCCATGGTCCAAGGAATTAAGAAGTCATAAAAACTCCAATAACCTTTTAAGCGAAAACTATGCAACATTCACCTTGTCTAAGTTCGTCGCACGCAAGCACGAGGTTCAGCACCGAAGTCCCATACGCATCCCGCGTCCTGCAGTGGGATACTTTTTGCAGCCTAGCCGCAAACCAGCCGCATCTTCATACCCATGCACGTAAGTAATTGAGGTAACAATGTTCCAAAGTGCCAATATTTACCCAGATTCGATAGAACATGCACTGTAACGATCAATCTAAGTTAGTACGCTTACCTTTCTCCTGTTCGTAGTCACGGGTGCGGCCATCCATGATGAATTATAAAGACGCGAGATCTGCTAGCTGTCGGCCTTAGTCAATTGACACGAGAGTGCTTCCCCACGTAAGTCCACGATATCACAGTCAGCGGACTATCCCCTGTGAAAGGCTGGTACAATGCGAGCGATAAAACCTACTAATGATGAAAATGCCTGCGCGGAGACGGTCACGCCGGCGGCCGAAACCCCTAGATCTCGCACAGCGCGCAAAGTGCGCCACAAACAATGACGGCTCTGGGTATTTGGCGCCAAATATAATAGAGGTGGACAAAGAGAGCCATCATGTTACTCATTCTGAACAGATTGGCGCATTAAACACGATTTCTCATCATATTTTTTCATTGAACTAACGTGACGGTTTGCTTCTAGAATGGCTTGGCTAATATGGTATGCAATCTACGCTAGTGCTTAAGTTTCACAGAATCACTACAGCTTGAATGCCAAACGCATGGCAAATGCAAGAAAAATAATTTGGGCCAGGGTGTCACAACCTCCCACGCATTTACCCCGAGAAACAGTATTTTGGTGGGACCCACCCCATTAGAAGATATGTTAAACTGTATGCTGCATCCTGCATTCTCTAATTACATATGCAAAAACAGCCCAATTTGGTGGACAATCGACATCTGCAACCTGCCTGATGGGACGCGTATGGAGATCGGGCAAGGGGACGAAGCAGGCGTTGCCTCCGACCTCGGCTCTGACCAACCGCAGGCGTGTCAATTTTTAGATTATTGGGGGAGGGCCAAACCAAAGGCCCGACAAACCGCTCCCCATTTTTTCTCGCCGGATTTAGCCCACTTCGTGCTGATGAAAAGCAAGACATGTTTTTAGCGTTTGTATAGTTTATAAAGAAGTATTTTAGACAGCATAGTGTTCACGCAGCGGTGGATCAACGCAGCACGCGCTGGACGCACGAGCCTCTCCTGATCAACAAGTGAAGGCGGCTCTTTAGAGGCCGTTTTAAAGCCGCGAGGGTGCTCCTCTATAGCGGTCATGGGAGGTGGCACGCATTTTGGTTGTGGGGGCTGGGGATAGGGACCTTTGAAGACTTTTGAAGACCCATGAAGACCTTTGGGTCATCCACGTATTCCAGAGCTTTTTACTTTGACCTCACAAATTAATGTGTGTCTTATGGCCGAAAGGGTGTGAAGATTATTTGCATCGTTTATCCGCTCAGTTGTTGCAATTCGTATCTGATGGTGAGAGCAGCCACGAATTTTTGTTACAATAGGAGAGAGAGTTCTAGTGTTGATAGGTGCCTCGCTATATGCGGGAAACGTGCGTCTCTATGGGGAGGCAAACATGCGGCCACATTAACGGATCCACCTACCGGATTTGGGGCGAAGCTATCCGGCCAAATTACACACCTTGTTCTTATTTCCTTTTTGTCTTTGAATTAGATCAAAGCTCCCACCCTATCCTCCTGCAAAATAAAGCTGCTTTATAAAAGTTAATTTTTTGTGACATGCGAGTGGGACGCGAAATATTTTGGCCTCAATTTGGCCGTACCACATTTGCGAACCCAACTGTTGCCATGACATCACGAGTTACATTTGCCAATACTTATATGGACTTTGGCCAACAACATACTGCTTTCATGAGATGCCTAAAAATGCGCTGTAAAAACAACGATGGGAATGAGTTTACTCTTCTTGTGGTAAAAAATACGTGTGCTATTAAGATGACTTCCACATGTCTGGTTCTTATTAACGCGCGCTCGGTTCGGGGACCAATTTGGTTCCTCCCCCTTCCGAAGGTTTTCCAAAATAATTTATGGCCGGTGCGGCGTAACCGTTCTAGCGCTGGTGGGTGCACAGCTATATGCGATAATAATACGTTCCTACGCGGAGGCGAATAACCGGCTACATTAACGACGAAGTTTTGGTGCCGCTACACCGCGCCGAACTTTACACAGCTATACACAACTGAGTAGCAGGTCTCAGGGTATGTAAAGTTAGATGGCATGGACCTACGGCAGGCCAACGTCAGGCCCTGACTTTCAGCAGTCAGTTCTTATGGAACCGTTCAAGCCGATGCGACGGCGCGCGGAGGGAATAGGCAGAGCATCCCACCTTTTTTACTTTTCACTAATTACTACATCAGACGCGTGCAATTCAAGCAGTAGTGGGAGTATTCTCCAAATCCTGAATAGCTCAGAATTTTTATTTGAACCAGGCAACCCTGGTATTTGACTCCATACTCACCACTATAAATTAAATAAATTTAAGTTGCCTCGCTTTTCCAACGGTTGTGTTCTGTAATGTTTGCAACACATTAAGTTTTCAAAACGTTTGGGTAATAAATGCTATGAAAGACTGAAACACTATTTAGACACAAAGATATGCGAACATAAAGCTATTTTTCGACGAATTCCACGAAATGTTATGCTATGGCTTTCCTTGCTGCTTGGGGCGTTTACCACCGCGGCTCTTTTCGAGGCGCACATTGGCTTTGGGAATGGGAGAATCACATGATCCATGTGACGCACTGGTTCAAACATCAGTCAATGCGCCTCGCGGCAGCAAACCATTGTCCGCTGGGTCAATCACAAATGCTCTTTTATTCACACCAGTAAAGTGGCGCACGGTGGTTACCATGACGACGGTGGTCGCAACTGCAGGAAAGCATAATGCCGTTACAGAGCGATGATAGCGCAATTTGAACTGGAAAATAGTTAAAATTGATATCTTAATTATACCTTAACGGCATTGGAGTGGCACCACTCCATGTCATCATAAGATGTAACTAATCGTGAGGCTTCACTGGAGTATGTTTTTGAAATATGAAATATGTACATATATATATATATATATATATATATATATATATATATATATATATATATATGTATATTGGGTTTTTGGGCTCAGGTTCTTTGGGAAAAAGTCAGTGATGTGGCAGCTAACAGGCTTTGCCTGTCTACGAGCCCGTTGGCTGCAACGTGCAAAATGTTCGCCGAGAATCTATGTTGCCGCGAAGACACACCAATCAATGTTGCCGAAGCCCAACTTTGGTAAAGCTGTGATCAGCTAAAGTTATGCTGACCACATTCATGTTCTGGCGAAACGCTTGGAAGGGGGTTCGCCTTGCAGAACAAGCGTTCGTATAAGGCTCGCCGAAAAGGGCCATCTGGCTGCTGCCTTGACAGCGTCAGCCTGATCACAGGGCGCCGGGAGTCGTGTAACAGCATGACACGGGAAAGGTCCTTTCACGCCATTTCGATAAAGGCCCCGAGGCAGAATGGGTCCGTTAAACCTTTATCACAATAATGAAGGTTAGTTTGGAGTGCGAGTAATTAACTATTTTCATCAGGGGATCTTATTTTAAATTTGTCCAGCAACATTTTTGTTTTCTGTTTGTGTATTGTAACATCTATTTCAATAGCTGAGACTTTACTTGAAGCAGCAGTGCCGCACCAAAAATAACATTCTGTTATCCACTTTGAGAGGCAAAATGAAGAGAGCGAGAGGGGGGGGGGGAGAGAGAGAGAGAGAGAGAGAGAGAGAGAGAGAGAGAGAGAGAGAGATGGGAGAGAGTAGAGCAGAGAGAGAGAGAGAGAGAGGAGAGAGAGAGAGAGAGAAGAGAGAGAGAGAGAGAGAGAGAGAGAGAGAGAGAGATAGAGAGAGATAGAGAGAGAGAAGAGAGAGAGAGGAGAGAGAGAGAGAGAGAGAGGAGAGATAGAGAGATAGAGAGAGAAGAGAGAGAGAGAGAGAGGAGAGAGAGAAAGAGAGAGAGAGAGAGAGAGAAGAGAGAGAGAGAAGAGAGAGAGAGAGAGAGAGAGAAGAGAGAGAGAGAGAGAGAGAGAGAGAGAGAGAGAGAGAGAGAGAAGAGAGAGAGAGAGAGAGAGAGAGAGAGAGAGAGAAGAGAGAGAGAGAGGAAGAGAGAGAAGAAGAAAAAGGAGAGAGGAGAGAGAGGAGAAAAGAGAGAGAGAGAGAGAGAGAGAGAGAGAGAGAGGAGGAGAGAGAGAGAGACGGAGGGGAGAGAGCATTTCTTTGTTTCGGCCAGAGATCCCCACACCGAAGAGTCGGCTCCGTGTCGGTCTGAATTCGGAAGCCCATTTCCCAAGCAGGACACTGCCGCACCTGCCATTACAACTGGCCCGGGCGCCTGCAACAATGCGGGGCTCCTGTATCGTTCATGGATCCACGGTGCCGCACAGTTATTATGTGCCAACAAGTGGCCTAGAATCGGTCAGATAAAAATGTACTCAACAGTGACGTGGATGGGACCCTGAATGGCAGAGGCCTCTTGCGCCGGTCGGAGTCCTCTGACAATGAAAGAAAACAGGACAGCTTATGAGGATTGTTTACATTGAGACAATGGAAGGATCCTGTGCCAGCCCGGGCCTCCAGTGCCGAACAGTAGGGACCTGCAGCCCAACGCCAGCATGTGCTCGTTAAGCCGAACTGAGGCCTACGCGCCAATAATTGGACCACCTGTGGCGATCAGAAATGTTGCTGCGTTAATGAGGGCTCCTGCGTCAATCCGTGATTAACTGCGCTCTGCGGGGGTCAGAAGGCCTCCAGCGTCAGGGAGGGGACCAATGTGATATGATGCATTTCCTTTAAGGGCCTCCGGATCGGCGAGGGGATCCCGTCCCGTGTCGCCCGGATGGCTGCCGGAGGACACGCCGTGCTGGAACGGAATGGCCCTTCAGCCTTTGAGCGGGAACAATTATGTGCCCCCTAGTGTCATATTCAACGGGGCCCATTCACGGAAATAAGAGCGTCATTAGTGCTGAAAAGAGTGAGTCGAAATAATTTTTTTTAAAAATAAAGGAGGCAATTCCATGTCTATCTGACAACGCTCACTCTTTTGCAGAACCGGCTAGTAAAACATATTATCGAGGGATTTGAGCCTGCGCGCCCGCAATCTGGGGAGCAGGGATCTCGATAGCCTAGTTTGCGGTTTCCGTAAAACCGAACGATGTTGGCCACTGCAAGTAACGCCTGGCTGCGGGCGCCGCGCGCGCGAGAGCAGCCGGGGCGCGCATGCTCAAAACTACGTCACGTAATTTTGATTTCTAACAAATTCTGACTGAATGTTGAACATTTCCAGACGAATATGCCTCGGCCATGTTAATGCAAATTGTTCATCGATGTTTATCTATAGTCGCGGGGCTCTTATGATCTCTGTACAGCCCAGGTAGGATTTCGACAAAGTTTCTGAGTTCTGTCGGCTTAGAAACAGTCCACTGGATCATTGTAAAACGAAAAGCGTCGGTGATTTATTTCATGCAGATGTTAAACGCATGATTTCTTCAGTTGATGGACTAAAATTAAAACAGAAATGATCCTATTCCAGTGATAAAGGATAAAAACAAAAAACAAAAATATGCCTTCATTAACAACTGGGCGATGTTCAGTGATTTTTGGTTTGAGGAGATTTTACTATCAGGGACTTTTTGTCGACCATGTGCCCCCCCCCCCTTGCCAAGGCACTGGCTGCGCGCCTGTATTACCAACAGTCAGCATAAATATGATAAAAGTAGGGAAATCTCTATGCTTTTCAGGAAATCAAGCCTACGGCCCCGACGATCCTAACACTTTTGATTATGGTCAAAGTGACAAAGAATAGGCTGCCACAGGTAAACATTGGACCCCCCCCCCCCCTCCCCCCTCTCCCTTGCCACTACCTCCACTCCGACACCTGCCTGCTTGCATTGCCATAGATTTTGAGCAGTTTTAAGTTACAATTCATCCTGTTTTTATCGGCACATCCGCCGACAGGTGTCGGATGTCCTGTCACCATGATGCTACCCTTTACCACTGAATCCCCTTTGTGCAGATGTGTGGGGATCGACATCGATGAAAAACCTCGCGTAGTTTTGCGCCATCGGTCTAGCGTATGTTCCAACAAGGTCGAGGTAAACTTAGCGTGTTTAAGTAAATCCAATAATCTTCTCTTCAGTTGCTTGCCTCCTAGACTGAAGAAAAGGTCATTGTTGAATACGTTCCGGTTCCATTCACTGGTTCAGAATGATTCTGGAATTGAGCCGACCGCAGGCAGGCCTCAGTCCAGTATTTACCTACTGATGTTTGTGCCTGCGCAGGCCTGCTGCTTTGTAGGACACAAGATGTGCGTGCGCAATTTGCAGGTAGTTGTACTTGTGACGGAGGAGCAGATCACCATAACATCTATGAACGCGGCTCGTGATTCAAGAAGTTGTATTGTGATGATATATAATATTAAATTGAAAATGTGCGACACAGATAAACCTCATGCAACACCGCATAACCTCGGAAACAACTAACAAGATACCCGTTGATCACAGGGAGGAAGGACTAGCGGCTTCAAGATAATCGATTCCACCGTGCAAATATAAACTGAGATAGCTGCGCAGGAATATGACAGACGGCCTCATTGTGAAGACTGATACAATTCATCCTCGTGAGCCACAGCCGGGGAGAACTCCGCCAAACAGCGGCTACCGCCAAAACGATGCAAAGGAAAGCGACACAACAAACACTGCACTGAAAGGTCCGGCACGCGGTGCAGTGCATCATAATGCAAAGGCAAACGAGTCGATTGTGTTGTAGATCAGAACACGCTACACACGTTCGGTACGTCGCTTTCAGAAAGACACCTCATATTTGCACAGCTTGGCACAACCAGCAGACCAAGAGATATGGATAGGTTTTTGAGGACAAATGACCTTGGCTTCCAAGGGTTGCTGAATGCATTCATGGAGAGACGGGACGCAAATAAGTAGGTCAAAACCGTGCCTAACTATATTAAAATTTGAAACTAGACTATGTCATGTAAAACTATGTCTACACTTTTGCTACTGCCGAGGCAAGAAGCTGAAAACGTATGCGGCGAGAAGCATGAAGTGCAGGCCCTCGTCAGGATATGCCGATGTTGTGCGCGGTGGGAGAGTGAACGGGCCGATGGGACCGAGCGACACACACCGACGGACCGATGTCGGCGTTGGGGTCTCCTCTGCCCCTCTCTCTCCCAAGACCGTGCTAACAACACCGGGGAGGGGCACGACACTGCGCCACAGAGCCCATCGGCGGTAACGACCAATACGCCCCAGAGCGAGAGCACCCTAATGTATCACTGGGGACAGCACGCGTCCCTCAGGGCAGCATCGTGTGTGCAGCACTATTGCTGATGGATGCACCACGAGTGCTCCTCACGAAACGGCAAAAAGCATTGAGCGCCAACACGCTACGACGCAAGCGATGTGTGATGTGAGAATAAGGCGGGGCTTGTACGGGCCTAAATCGCGCACGTAAACATCAGACGGGGACCACCGACTGCGCGGTCTCACCGAAATACGCGCAGTTTAAATCATCCGACGCCACAATTGAGCCACAACCAGACCGCAGCTGCTCAGTACTGATACCCGACTAAGCCACTTGGACGTCCGGCCACTGGTACCGGCGACTGTGGCGATCCTCTGGGCGTGTAGGGAAGTGTTCTGGGCGTCGACAACACGAGCCTAGCCTGCGCTGTGGCACAGACCCCGGCATCGCCAGCCAAGCAGCGATCGGGCCGGGCTAACGTCAGTGATCCAAACACGGTGTGGTTGCGGAGAGCCTACTGATGCAGTTGCGCTGAATGGTTGCCGCTTGCGGCATACCAGTTCTCACAGCAGCGACGGACGCCTGGCGCGGCCTGACCGCGGCTCGCCGGTCCGGGGCGGCCTGTCCGTCGGACGCGCAGCCGCCACCGCCGCCGCCGCCGCCGCGCCCGGCCCACCGACAGCCGCCGTGCCCGGCCCACCGACAGCCGCCGCTCCCGGCCCGCCGCGCCCGCCGTGCCCGCCACCGACAGCCGCCGTGCCCGGCCCACCGACAGCCGCCGCGCCCGGCCCACCGACAGCCGCCGTGCCCGGCCCAGCGACAGCCGCCGCGCCCGGCCCACCGACAGCCGGCTTGGACGGCCTCGCGATGGCGTCGCGACACGCGGACGTCTGGGGTCGAGAGAGCGGCGGATGCACGGCATCGGGCTCGCATTGGCGCGGCCCTCAGCACGGCCGGACGTCAGCCACGTCGGCCACGTCAGCTACGTCAGCCTCGTCAGCCACGCCAGTCGCGTCAGCAGTCCCGATCGCCGAACGTCAGCCAGGCCTTCGGCACCGTCTTCACTCTGTCGCCGGATGGCCTGTCCGTCTGGTGCGACCACGCCTGCCAAAATGCAACGTCGTTACGGCAAATTGTGGCTATCTGACATTGATTAGATCTGATAGATTGCTGAAGTCATTGTTTGCTTGACCTTGTCGGCGGCACCTCTGTCCGAGGACACACTCAGGTTCCATCAGCTACCTAGAGCGCTTAATGCAGCTGTAAAACAAGTAGACATTGCTGATAATCTGACGCACCTCACTATTTAATATTGCATACCTATGGACAATCTGATTGGTCATTAACCACAGTTTGGTTTTGGAAATACAAACCATAAAATGAAGCTGACACGCTATCACCACTAGAGAGATGTTTAAACCTGCCCAAACAGGTCGCTTTTGAACATTTCTCTTTCTCTTTAATCTTACTGCTTCAGGCGTTTTCCCCAACGGTGATGCAATATGCATGGCTCAGACGTAGCTGAATATCACAAGATTGAGAAGATTGTGCCTGTCAGAACGTTTCCCGTTGCGTGATAAGGGATGACAGGCCAGCCACGTCTGAGGCCGCCCAGTCTCGTTGTCATGCATTGATCCCCTGTTGACGGCGCCCAATCGTAACGTCCAATTCGGCCACTTGAAATAGATCGTTCTCGTAGCATTGGCGGCGACTGCGGACCGTCCTGCCACGCCCGTGGGGAGCAGACGCGGAGTCTGGCAGCTAATGCAATGGTGATGCTCTTCATTCATGTTGTATGATCCCAAAGCGTGCAGGGGTTGTCTGGCCAGACACGTACTGAGCACTCGGCGGGCAAATGCTTAGAGACGACCAATCTGGCAATGGGAGCGTCACGACATTAGTGTCGCGGCAAAAACTCTTATCGGCAGGAATGCAACGACTTTAGTTAAACGCGTCATCTCTTCTACTGCAAAAAGTCATACAGACTTTACTTGTGGCGCCGATAACCAATGCAGCTCATTCGCCCGTAAAATCCAACAGCTAGCTAGCTGATTAACTAGGCCTTAATTATACGCGACATTACTTTTGCTGCGAAAACATATGCACCTCATCCGGGCTAAACGACAAGACTTACGTTTGAGAAGCTCACAACCGTCATCACTGCTACTGCAAAACTAATGCACCCATTTCTAATACGCGGCTTAATTCCTACTTCAAAACTCATAGTCAACATGAGCGCTACACGAACTACACACTAATTCACCAATGTCGTGTGTGTGTATTGGGCTCGGCAGTGGAAATAGTGTCGCAGCACTGATGTTGGTGGGAGTTTTTGCTGCAGGATCTGTAAAAAAAAAAAACAGCCCGAGCTAATGTAAACAATCCAATTTCTATGCGGATTTCAGTCGATGCATTTTGAGATCAATTTCTAACACAGATACATCTTGAATTCAGCATTATCATCCACCTCCCAAGAGGTAAAAAGTCATGGGCCTGGATTGCATAACTAGCCTGTCACCTAAAATATTGAGGTGATGATGTCCGCTATTGCTGAATCCCAGTATTTTCACGCCGCACTGTACTGCGTGAAACGAACATTTCACACCCAGTGCCAGTCCTATTCACTAAAACTTGGAGGAAGTCTCCACTGAACGGAGGAGTCACGTTCCATGTGGCGAGCTTAAGGTGCACGCAACGAACTGCTTAATGAATGTGCAGCGCGAAGTCGTCAGGTCAGGAACTCGGATACAATAAGAAGTTTCCAAAATACCACGCCCAATTTGGCACAACCCACCCATAAAGCAAACTACGGTGATGGCGCACTGCACTAATGCTGTCGCTCTAGTGACGTCATATTGATGCGCCGAGATCTATTTGTCCCGTCGGCGGTGATTCCGCACACGACACCACGTGGTGTCACCCAGGGCTCCGTCCGATCTGTCGGCGGTGACCATTAGCTTCATGTAGCATGACGTCACTCAGGGCGACCTCCGATCTGTTTGTGGTGATCCGTACGCGACGTGATGTCACTCGTAGCACCGTCCAATCAAATGGGATTGATTCCGTGCATGACGTGACGTCACTCGGAGCTCCGTCCAATCCGCTAGCGGCAGTTCCGCGCACGACGCAATCTTCAAGGAGAGCGCTTTTCGATCCGTCAGCGGTTACCCGATCAGTCAGCCCCAAACGGACATGACGTCACTCGGAGCGTATTCCAACCTATAAGCAGTGATCCCCGCGGACGCCATGACGTCATGCCGGAGTAACGATCGAGGCTCGGTCCTCGTTGTATCATTACCTTGGATTCTCGGTAAACACGGCGACTGGACGGCGATTAGCGAGCGTACACAGAAACACTTGCGGGCGGCCGGGCAAGGCTTCGGGCCGCTCCGAGGACAATGGCGGTGCCAAACATGACTGACGCTGCCAAGGAGTGGCGTGCACTCGCCGCAAGTTGATGTATTGGAGCGCACACGTTGATAGATATGTACGCGTAATTGATTGTTCAAGAGACACACCTCTGGGGGGAATAGAGGCAAACGGAAGCAGAGTCCTTCGAGGCTTAATTCACGAGGTACACAATACCGTGTGTGGTTTACGCAACGGCAAACCGCCAACCCATGAAAATGCGTGTATGTAGCATAACCATTGTTATCGCTACATCCGCGGAAAGTTTGCAGTTAACTTATTCCATAGAATGCCGCTACACAGCACTTCTGAGAGCCACCACTGCGTGTAATCGCACGCTCCTTAAATGTTCCGTTTTTTACCAAAGGCGGGTTAGGTTAGCCTGAAAAGGCAGTGCAACGAGATGTGAGACTTCAGCAATTCACAGTAACAACAGCCGAACTGCTGCGTTGAGGACGTTTGCAGTTCTATCAAACGGGAAGGAGGGGGACGGGATCTCTTCGGAGGCACGACGATGAATGCGGCGGCAGCAAAATTGGAAAATGAAGTAACTCAGCTAGTGTTGCTATAGGCTTGAGCTCAGCCATCCGAAAGAAAATGGGGGCGTTAATATGCAGCAACGCGCAGCCATTTGGAGAAAACGACTCAGAGAAAGCTGCACGGCGCGTGCGTGTTGCATGCGCAGCGTATCTCACGAACGGAGCGCAACTGGTGTCAAATGTCCGTTACCGCCACCTGCTGTGTGAAAGCTCAAACACCGCTGCAAAACACCCTTGCAGGCTCAAGGAATGTGTTCAATATTTTCAAAACCGACAAAATCGAAAAATGCAGATGTCTGGCAATACTCGTTATCCTTGGGGCATTTCTTTCTTCGACATTCTCAACTGCCGAGGCCACACGGCGTCGCCTGCCTCCCACCCTGGCAGGAAGGGCGGGCACCGCGGGATACGGGCCCCGTACCTCTGGTTTCCCAGACACGCAGTAGAAGTTACTACACTAGCAGCACCCTCACCCTCCTGGTCATATTCAGTGGGTACCCTAGGCCATAAGCCAGCAACGGCCGGACAAATGGGTCTTAACGAACGTTTATCAAGCTGGTTCGGGCAAAATTAAACTTGTTTCGCATAAAATTATGAGCGGGCCGTAATAACAGCTGAGTGAAAAGAGCGGCAACTGGGGAAGGCGAACTAAATGTCCGCTGAATGCGTTCGGATTTAACATCTGTCACAACGTTACACATTTGAAATGACAACAGCGATAGGAAAAAACAGGCCCACGAAACAGGCATTGTACAATTCACAAAACAACCAAAGGATTGGACTCAACAAGTCATCTTAGTCCAACATCTATGCTTCGCGGGTCAGGTCGCCTCGGTAGCGAACCACGGCCCCCTCCCCCTCCCCCGTGCCACAGGTCACGCAGAGCCCGACCTTGCGTTATGACGAGACGGCCGGCAGGACGGCGGAGACGCCCGGCTCGGCTGCGGCGCCGCTCATGTGGCTGCCGCACAGGCAGACGGCGCCGCGGGACGGCGACTGCAGCGCCATCGTGCTGTACAGACAGGTGGGGTCCGGACAGCGGAGAGCGCCCAGACCCCGCCGGCCGCCGCCGGACGCCGGCGCCGACTGGGGCGAGGAGCCAGCGCCCGGCACGGCGCCGACGGCACTGGTCGGGAGCGGCGCCGGATCGGGACCGGGGACGGGAGCCGGCGCCGGCCGCAGCGGGGAGGCTAGGCCGGGCAGCAGTGCCGGGTCCGGGCTTGGGTCCGGAGGAGGGGTGACGGGCAGGCTGTCGGAGATGACCGAGCGGCGAAGAAGCTGTTCGGCCTCGGGGTCGGCACGCGCCGACCGACTCCGGCCGGGTCGGCTCACGTCTGCACCACCGCCAGTGGGCCGGCTCTCCTGTGACTCACGAGCAGGCGAGGAGACACGGCCACCTCCGCCTGAAACAGCACCACGGCACGTCAGATGGAGACACGGTCACCTCCGCCAGAAGCAGGACAAAGACACGTCAGATGGAGACACGGTCACCTCCGCCAGAAGCAGCACAAAGACACGTCAGATGGAGACACGATCACCTCCGCCAGAAGCAGCACAAAGACACGTCAGATGGAGACACGGTCATCTCCGTCAGAAGCAGCACAAAGACACGTCAGATGGAGACACGGTCATCTCCGCCAGAGGCGGGACAACGGCACGTCAGATGGAGACACGGTCATCTCCGCCAGAGGCAGGACAACGGCACGTCGGATGGAGGCACGGTCATCTCCGCCAGAGGCAGGACAACGGCACGTCAGATGAAGACACGGCCACCTCCACTCTAGACAGGTAAGCTGCACGTAAGCGTGCTGCTGCGAAACAGTTTCCGGGTATTGGTATCGTAGTTTGTAACTTACAGGCACCATTCACCTTCCTCGAGGAGTGCGGACGCACTGGCCCACAGCTTCAACACGCACAGTGACACTCCTCCGAGCCGCCAAAAAATACAGCGACCTTCGACTCCAGCCTTCCGCAAAGTATGAGCATCATAATTAACCCTGTTCCTCGGGCCCTTTTCTGTATCGAACAAAACCAGCCTCGCACGATTGACAAGCTCGTTCTTCCTTCTTTCCAACTGAATGACAAAGCTATGTGTGCATGCTACACAGATTGTGTAGCATGCTACATAAGTCGGTATAGTTGTACAGCAGCTGTATAGATTGCTTCGAACTGTAGCAACTCACCCGGTGATCATTGTCGGGCGGGCGTTTGAAGTGCCGCTCATCTACAAAGGTGAACACCAAGCAAGCTGCCGCATGCTCAGCGGTCTGAATAATTAGAAAACTTCCTACTTCCGACTGCTTTCTTCAAAATCAATCTAGTAGGCACTCCCGCTTTTGTTAAAGCCTGAAAATAATTTGAGGAGGTATTTGAGTGACTCCCTCATCAATAATGATCGTTGAAGTCCAAAAACTTTCGAAATAAAATAACTCACAGGATCGGAGGCCTCGAAAGTACGTAAGTTGAGCGATACCAATGTCGTAAGTAAGTGATGGAGAGCAGATAGTCCGCGACCAAATGCCTTTAAACTACGAATCAAATACTTGATACTGAAACATTGCCGCTACGGGTGTTTTATATCCAGGGTAGCATGTGCCCACACCAGATATGACCCAACTATACACACCCCTTAATTATCATCAGGGACAGAGTTTTTATATCCGCCACCACAATGAATATCTTACTAAAAATGCTGCATGTGACAGGGCGAAATATATACACAAAGTCTAGGGTTCACACCATTGATAAACTGCAGCCAATAAATGGCGAATTGGAGTCTGGAGCGATACATTTTGACAGGCTGCAGTGTGACATGAATGCGAATGGTGTGCAAAGGCCACGAACAGCCATTCACTGCACACTGATTGCAGTCAACCCAGACATTGTCGTGTCTGGACAACGGCGGCCACTGGCAGTATCAGGCCGGGCCGGCCCGCCGGTGGTCCGGCCGCCCGTGGTCCGGCCGCCGGTCGTCCGACAGCCACCGGCAGCGGCTGGACGGGCCGGCCCGCCATGGGTCCGGCCGCCCGTGGTCCGGCCGCCGGTGGTCCGGCTGCCCGTGGTCCGGCTGCCGGTGGTCTGACGGCCACCGCCAGCAGCGGGACGGGCCGGCCCGCCATGGGTCCGGCCGCCCGTGGTCCGGCCGCCGGTGGTCCGGCTGCCCGTGGTCCGGCCGCCGGTGGTCTGACGGCCACCGCCAGCAGCGGGACGGGCCGGCCCGCCATGGGTCCGGCCGCCCGTGGTCCTGCGGCCACCGGCAGCCGCCATTTGTCCGCGATAACCATGTGGCTCCACTGGTCACGCTAATGGAGCGCGATCCCGACCGACATCGCCAGGCCCGAACACAGGCCCAACACGCGCCCACGCTGGCGGCGCCGGCGGCAGGGCTCTTCAAGGATCAATTTTTCAGGACTCAGTGCCATACAACCCCCCAGTCTAGCGCTTTGACAGCGAAGTGAAAATCCAATCGGGCCCGATGCGTCACGGCAGATCCATACACCAGCCCTACCCAGCGTCGACGGTTACGGGCACCGGGACGGGTGCGTTCGTCCACCCGACTAGCACGAGGGCGTCAGCTGGCACCTGGCCAAAGCGGTGGCCCTGCCTCGGTTAGACCCCGCTGTGACACTGCACGGGTTGTAAAAAATCCGTGATCAAGCCGTCCCATGGTAGCTTGCAGACAGCATGCACGCTCCCGTGACCTGGGTCGGGCCACCTCGGGTGGTGGGTGCAGGGTGCAAGACAGCACGTACGCCCCCGTGACCTGGGTCGGGCCACCTCGGGTGATGGGTGCAGGGTGCAAGACAGCACGTACGCCCCCGTGACCTGGACCAGGCCACCTCGGGTGGTGGGTGCAGGGTGCAAGACAGCATGCACGCTCCCGTGACCTGGATCGGGCCACCTCGGGTGTTGGGTGCAGGGTGCACGCAACAAACTCCGCTAAGCAGATGCTTTGAGCTCTCCCAAAGCACCCGTGTGAACCAACGTGCAGTATTAAGTATTCCATGAGAATGGGTCCTTCATTCTAGAGCCTTTCAGCCATACAAATCATTGAAAATTAATCATTAACCGGCAGGGTCATTGGAAATAACTAAGCAAAATGTAGTTGCAGTTGAGTTTGTAGTTGGGTTTATTACATTTCAGCCCAATGTCACGCGACGTGGAAAACGCGAAACGTGCCGGTGCGTTTGGGACTTCTGAAAGACAATTATTTACCCTACAATCCCTTACCATCCGTTTGTCCCGAACAACTGCTGCTGAATCAAATTTAATCCCAGCACGTGCCACGTACAGCTTTGCGCACTGCGTTCAGCATCATTCATTGATTAATACTAAATGCATGTATCTATTCAGCCGGTGAAGAATCCTGGCAGTCAGTAACGTCAGTAGAGTGCTCCATTTTAAGATGGGGCTTCATTTTGTCCGTCCTCGAGAAGGTCAGCTGCTACCCTCACGGACCGGGTCCGTGATGCCTTAAGCTGTCGCAGCGGCACGTACATCGAGTCAAGCCGGAAAGGAAATTTTCTCGAAGCTATCGATCTGACGGAGAACTGCAATGAAATTCATTGCGTCTGGGAAGGCTAAAATCTATGACGAGCCGTCCCGCGAAAATACATCATTTACGAAACCAAACTATCGACTCCAAATACCAAGGTTGTAAAATGCCGCCAGGGCACAGCCTATCAGGTGGGCGATGAGAACTGACGTCCAACAAGGCTGGCGGCGTGGCAGCTAGTCCGGTGATGACGTCAGACGGTCGACGGCGGCCAAGGGATGGAGCCCTCGCCCACAGTGGGTGCCGATACAGCCCGCGGCTTTGTTTTGAAATGCCTCCCCAACTGTTTGCTGCATCTTAGTGGTATTTAAACCGACTGAGACACACACATCTACGTTTCTGGTCTCACGGTTGTGGTGTGCTGGTGTCTCAGGCCACTCAATTATTTTCCCGTTCGGAAAGGTCTGCACCACGAAGCTATGTTGAAAATGAAAGTTATATCTACAAGGTACCGTCTGCGACTCATAGTTCTGAGTACGCCAAGGCTGGCGTACGGCTCAACAGCATTGAAATATCTTTTTACAGCAAGCCAGTGTACTTTTGTGCCTGAATATTGCAGGAACAAGGCCACTGGATGTCGGAGGTTAACCTAGGTAACCTAACGTCACCGCTTGGAAAGAAATAGTGGCACCCTCAAGCTGAGTTCACTTTTCTCTGAGGACATGCAGATGGTTATGTGGAGACGCTAAAAGCGTTCCTGATGTCGTTCATTGCAGCCTGCCACAAGTCGATCGCCGGGGATAACGCCAAATAACCCGCATGCAAGCAGTATTTCTGCAGTTTTGCTCTAAGGATCTGTAACGAAGCGGAAGTGGTAGTGTACCAGCACCCCAGTTCTCTGTCCGATCAAAAAATGGCGAAACACCCAGTGTCGGCGAGGGCCAACATCGGTACAGCGCTGCACTGGAGCCTTTCCACCACACCCTGCACCACCGCACGGGGGCGTGTCGCATGTGCCGCTCCAAACCACCCAAACCCCGCCGGGCCCCCACCGCCTGCAGACACCCGGTGGCCTTGGGGTGGGCGTCCCGCCGCCACCCTATCAACGCGGCTCCGCGGCCTAGCAGTGCTCGGGGAGCTTACTGGTGCCGACGGGCTCACCGGCCGCCGAGAGCGGCATTGGCACAGCCTGGCAGGGCTTACCGGCGGCCGGCGGCGGAGCCCATGGCCACCGGCCCCGTCTTACCGACCTGCGCCGACAAGGCGGCGCGCATGGGCCCCGGCTTACCGGAGCGGGAGCGGAGCGCGGCGGGCGTGAGGCGGCGTACGGCCGAGGAGAGGTCGCGGGCGGCGGGCAGGCCGGACGGCCAGCGGCGTCGGTGGCCCGACGTCGACGGCGGCGGCGGCGGCGGCGGCGGCGGCTCGCTTCGCGTCGGCTCCGGCTGCGGGCAGAGGCAGGGGCTGCCGTGACCGTCGGTGGGAGTCGATACGGGCTCGACGCCGCCGCCGCCGCCGCCGCCGCCGGCCGCGCGGCGCTGCATTATTGATGCTGCGCCGCGCCCGGTCGGACCCGGCACGTCACCACGCCTAGCCAGGGCTAGCCCAGTGTTAGCCCCCTGCCCCTGTCGACACAGCCGGCCGCAGCTAGCGACACGTCACCCTCCCAGTGATGCCATTTGTCATACCCAGTCCTTCATCAATACGACCGGTTACACCTAGTCTTTCCTGCCGACGCGACAGGTCACAGCACCCGGTCACACCCGTCAATACGACCTCTCACATCCAGTCGCTCGTATCGATATAGCCGATCGCACCCAACCTTTCCTGTTGATACGACCGGTCAGGCCCAGTCCCCACCCCTGCTGATGCCACCGGTCACACCCATTCCATCCCGTCAATAGGCCTGAAGCACAGCCCCAGGCGGTGCAGCGAGGGCCTCAGGCTGGCTCGGCGGCCCCTGGCTCGACATGTGACACTCACGTCACGGGTCAAGATACGCGCCGAGCGATACGCATTCGATACGCAGCCGAGCCCCCGCTGCTAATTCTGATCAGGAATGACCGTCTCGAGAAAACGTGATCAGCTCTGGCGGTATGCGTAACCTGGAGTTTAAGAAGGCTTCAGCATCGCGCGACCAGTAGAGCCAAAGCTCTCACAACAGGAATAATAACAAAAGCTGATGTGAACGGGGCTTACGGAATGCCAACTGCAGTGGCTCTTTGCGCTAGAAAGAAAAGACCAGACGAAACTAGGCGCATGTCGCTACCAGCATCAGGACAATGCAGTGTCAACAAGACCACCCGCATCCCCCAGAAACCGATTTACTGCGTCAACGGGAGGCAGTCAAACTTGTTACGACCAGAGCAACAATCGCAAGCTTGTGTTATAGTTCCGTTTGCCGTTCTCTTACCGACTACCGTCAAAGGCCCCTCATGGATGTTTTCATACCATGACACACTACGAAAAGCAGCCCATCAAGAAAGATATCTGAAAATACCCGAGCGTCCTCGCAAGGAGCATACCGCAAGAGCTTCTGAGCGAAATATGGTGCGTCCTATTGTTCGCTGTGAAAGAGCCTCCCATAAAGGTGAAATATCGTGGTACATAATACTATATGTGTGCGAGACGGAAGCCCGCTGGGGCTTAGTTGGTCATATGCGCTTCAGTAGCCCACTGCAATGGGTGCGGGGATAGGGACCGGTTGGTGGGCGACTGCGCGAGGCGCAGGAGCGCTTGCCAATCGATACTGGTCTCCAGGTAAGGTCCGCTCCTTCATCGCTCCCGACCGTTGTCTCTCCCCAGGTGACAGTCGCCCGCCGTCTGTCTGGTCTGTGTCCCTCTCCAGGCAGGGCCGGTCCTGTGGCTGTCCGGCCTGTACCCGCTCCAGGCAGGGCCGGTCCTGTGGCTGTCCGGCCTGTACCCTCTCCAGGCAGGGCCGGTCCTGTGGCTGTCCGGCCCGGACCCCCTCCATACAGCGTCAGTCTCCTGGCCTGTACCCTCTCCATGCGAGGCCAGTCCCCTGGCTACTCAGCCTGTACCCTCTCCATGCAGGGCCAGTCTCCCGGCTGTCGGGCCGTGCCCCTCTCCAGACAGGGGTCGGCCGCGGCGCCAGCGGCCGGCTGTCACGGTCGAGGGGCACGCTGTCCGGACCGGTCGATGTCTGTCCGGGACGGTCGATGTCTGTCCGGGACGGTCGATGTCTGTCCGGGACGGTCGATGTCTGTCCGGACTGGTCGATGTCTGTCCGGACCGGTTCTGGTGATGTCTGTCCGGACCGGTTTGATGTCTGTCCGGACCGGTCGATGTCTGTCCAGACCGGTCAATGTCTGTCCGGACCGGTTGATGTCTGTCCGGGTCGGCTGCGGTGCCAGTGGCCGGCTGTTACGGTCGAGGGGCACACTGTCCGGACCGGTCGATGTCTGTCCGGACCGGCCGTGACGCCGCGCGGGTAAGTGCCTTGGCGGGGCTGACCCTGTTCGTGGCGAACGCTGCTGTCGCTCTGTTGTCACTGGCCTATCCATAACTGTGCCAATGAATACCAATGATGGCATCGGCCTTCGCACGAGGACCGCCGGAAAGGCATTTGCTTTGCCGGCTGGGTCAAACACTGACGATGTTTTTATTGAGCTGTTGTGCTGACCTAGTGTAAGCTGCTTGGGGGTTATGGCGTTCCTAATTTCGCCCGTATGCGTAATGCATGAAGCCCAAAATGGCGGAGCTGGCGATCATGTGCACGGAACAAACGTCATCAGCGCTGGGTGCGCTTTCCTGCCGTGGTCTCAGGTTCTCGCTAACCAGGGATGGTTTGTAAATTCAGTGACTCTGTAAATGATAACATACTTGAATGATACGCGCAATCTCATTACAAACACAACCAATTGCAATTGCGAACGCGGTTTCCGCGTGGAAAGCGCCATTGAGAGTGTGGTGCATGTAATGTATTGGCTCCGCTACACTCTGCCCTCGCCTTCTTCCCAACAGCACCGTCGCGCCTTGTTCGGTGGCTACAATCTGCTGATCCACCGATACGGTGGTTTAATATATAATGCAAACCAAAATATTTCCGTCTGGGAAAGGGACATTTAAACAGTTCGCGCATAAACGATGAATCGAATGTTCGCAGCAGCTTCATACAGCTGTAGTGCTCGTTTTCAGATGGGCTGTTCAGAAAGTTGCAACTTTCATTATCTCCTCACATATAATGTGTATAATGTCTGATGTGATGCTTTTTAAATGACGCAGCTGAAAATTGAGGTTGCGTAGATCAATGTTGGCCAAGTTCTTCAGTGTTTTCACTCTTCTCATTTAATCTAATTCATGCTTTTTCTAAGCTACCATTGGTCTGTTAACAGCGGATGCAAACAACGAATAAGGTTTGCAAAAGGTATAGGAATTATCAATGGCAGTGAGGACATAACCCGTTTTCACGAAGAGTTACGGTGCAAAACTTAAAAGCTTTTGAAAGAAATTCAGCATTTTTTTCTAGCCACACACTTTTTTAATAGCGATTTTCGCAAGAATTGTTTTGCAGAGATTTAACATATTTGATAAGACGTACAGCTTGATCAAATTGCGGTTTGCTAGCTTTAAGTAAGGTTATGCTTCTATAGACAGGGAGGATGCCAGACCTCTTTCTCCCGAAACTTAACAAAACCTATAAAAAAACATTCGGCAACATCTTTGGCACGGAAGCGACAAAATAAACACTTTTACATTATAGCGTCCGAGTTCATAGGCATGCAGTACATACAAAGCTTACTCACAGCACTTACAGAGCTTGTTTACAGTACTAACAGAGCTTACAGGGCTTAAATTCCTTAACATGATCTAAGATGAATGTTCTTTGAATAAAGTGATCCTCCAAGCGCGTATCGCTCCACATAGCACTGACGAGAATAATCATAATGCAGCATCCAACGCCCTCGACCGATTAACATTGCTGGTTGCCAGGCCTAGTATTTTTCTAGATTAAGGGTGAACTAGAGGCATGGACTGGAAATGTCTATAAAGGGTCTCATCTGATACACCAAACTTGTTTTTCGTTATGTACACGGGGTTTACCTACCGCATGTTAATGGAATTCATGAAAACAATCTCTGTCATGTCAGAGTGTTAAGTATGTACTAAAATTTCATAGAAATATTTTAATGACTTCAAAAACTTTTCATTATATCAATCTATTGTGAAAAGGTTATTGCGTCATTCCCGGCGTAACTGCCAAAAATGTGTAAACATGCATTGATAAGATGCAGACGGGATGAATAACCGGCATTCAAACTGCCAAAGTTATTATCAACCGAAAATAAATGTTCTTTGTTTGTGCTAAAAGGATTCGACTATAAATCATGGCAACATACGGAGCTGTTATTTTAATGATCGGATCGAGGCCGTACGGTTCAGCTTTAACAGTCGTTGTTGGTCAGGGATCTGGGCGAGTTCAAGATAATCAATAAAATCAGCGCATCTGCTGCAAGTAGTTGACGACCCATGTGCGTTCAGGAATCAATAATTAGGCCTTTGCAGAGAAAATAGATTCCTGGCCAAGCGTGCTCTGCTTTGCTTGGCAGACATGTGCTCGGCCCCAACACGTCCGCGAAGCTAGCCTGTCAGTGGCCTAACGACCGGTGACGTCACTTCCGACCCCAGCTGACCGTAAAACGGGCCATCTCGGCGACGCCACGCCACCCTGTTTGCCGGCCCCCCCCCCCCCCCCTCACCAGATCTGGCAAATCTGCGCCGCCGCCTATTTCTCGGAGTCGGCCAGCCTGACTGCCGGATTCCTGGCTTCCGGAGTAACCAGGCCTCACTGACGGCTTCCTGGCTTCCGGAGTCGGCCAGGCCTGACTGTGGGCTCCGTGTCGGCTGCCGCACAGGCAGACCACCGGCCGGCCGGCTGCGGGGTCGGCTCTGGGCCCTGTCTCACCTCGTGGGGCCCGGCACGGCGAGAGGCCGCCGAGTCCCGGCCGTTCGCCGGGCCGGGCGTCGCGCCGTCCGCTGTCCGCTCGGGCTGTCCGCTGTCGGCTGTGCGCTCGGGCGGCGCGCCGGCCGTCAGGTCGCCCTCGGACGGGAACGGGTGCGTCCGACAGGTAGAGAAGGTGTCACTGCTCGCCAGACTGAGCAGGTCCGGGTGAGGCTCGGCGGGGGCGTCGGACGCTGGCGGCTGAGTCTTGGGCATGGTCTGCAGCTCGATGCCGGAGGACCAGGGTTGGCTGGGGTCGGACGGGGGCGTCGGCTCGCCCCCCGGCTTCAAAATATCCTGCCAGGCGGGCAGCATGTTGATTATAGTGGTGGGGTCATAGCGCAGCGTCTTACATCAAAAGGCTCGGATCGTTGCCGTCTGTCATAAATCTAAGGCGAAGCCGGTGTCAAAGGTTGTGGCATTAACGAACTCGTTCAGTCTAAAACGCTCACAGATATCGAGCATATTTTCATACCCTATATCTAAGTAAACAAAATGCACGTCCGCTCGTGGAAATTCATGAATATTTATCATTAATTTTAAACCTATTATCTGCCAGTTGGGTAAACCACACCACACCATATATAGCCTTTGATAATGCGTTTTGGCTGCCGGACCGAACTTTGAGCGGGTGACACTATTTCTCACCCTGCGTTGAGTTATACCCAGCCATTCATGTGAAGACGGCATCAGAAAGGCCACCCGCCGCACATCCACAAATGTATGCAAGCAACAGGTGGCACTTCCCAGCAGTGCGCGACAGCTGGCACTGCTCGCAATCAGAGTTGTACGTGCATGCGTTCTTCTCCATCCACACAAACTAGCAAAGTCAAATTTTATCAAAGAGTTCTCAAAACATTGGCATTTCTCCAATCCCTGGAACTCCAAATGCACTAGACCCACAATGCAAATAGGTTTGTGTCCTGTGTGAGTGGTCTAATCTGTCCGTAATTTTGCGTGCTCTCTGTGCCCTATGGTTGCGACTCGGGGCTGCGATGGGACGCATCGCCCACATGCTATCTGGTTGCGGGAAACCACATGCAGCGGACGGTGTTCAGCCCAACCTAACCTAACCTAACCTAACCTAACCTAGACCAACTTAACCTAACCTAACCCAACCTAACCTAACCTGACCTGACCTAACTTAGCCTGACCTGATCTCGCCACGTCACCCATACGGACAGCCGGAGGTCGTCAAACGCGTCCACGTAAAAGGTCACAATTCTGGAGGATTCTTGATGACAATGCCTTCAAAGATGTCGCGCGTTTGGTTCCACTAAATAGCATACCTATAGCTAGTTTGTTCGGCAAGAGAGAACCGCACAAAGCCGCCTAGCGTGCGCCCCGAACTAATAAGCATGAATGTTCTGTACATCCTAGCGGCATTTGTCGGGTTTTCTCGCTGGGCTACTTCACTGCACCCAGCACGGCATTTTTGCAGCCGGCGGACCCCTGCGCACATGAATACCAAGCGTCGACGGGCAACAAGAATTCTATTTTAAAGTGGCTGGAATCAGACTCTCCGGGTAACCGCTTTATAGCCGGCGGCCGTGAATGATGAACGAGGTGGAAACGAGAGGCGTTTTAACAATGCATGGGGTTAAGGGCGTGGGGAGCAGACTGATCTTGACCCAGAGGATTAGAGTAACGACCGACCTACGGAACGGACTCAGAACAGAACAAAAATACCCTGCGAATAACCCCTGCAAGCACTTAACCCGAGTGCAGCCCTTAGATTATTACACAGCTCCAATACTGAAATACTTAATTTCTTCGCAGCGCGGCGTATGCGTCGCAAATATAACTATCCCGTGGCAAGCCATTCAGCTATAATTTTGGAACGGAAATGCAAAGAACTACCAGACAGGTTTCGTGTTTAATCGCGTTATATCGACCGTCACACCAACACCTGAAGCTCGTTCGGTGACGCACCGAACATTTCACCACTGTGTGAAAGATGCTTAGGGTCTCACCAGCGACGTAGCGCGTATGCAACACGTCGCTAGCGAACGATTTACAGAGCTGTCCCGCTTGGCAAGCGAATCAGGTTGTCACGGGCCGGCCGTGTCGTGGAATTAGAAAGGGTTTAAATATCCTTCGGTACTAGTTGTTTGAACCGTTGGAGGAGATTATGTCCGTTGAACTGGGGCGTCTTTACTGCGATGTTCGATTAGCGGCTTCTCCACGAATTTTACTTATCGAGGACTCATATCCTCGTGCCATTTTGCCAAGTATTCAATGCCATTTCAGCGATATTCAGATGAAGGATACTTTATGTCAGTTTCACACTTGTCACAATGTTGTCCCAGGACCACATCGCTGGATATAGTCCAGGGAAGAGCACCGTGCACGGCAGGCTGTTGTGTTGTATGCATTTCACGTCAACTTCAATGTAATTGCTGGCTCTCATATCCGTTTTTCGCTGTTTCTACGCGCTCCTTTGCAGCTGGTTCACTGTGCAGCCCCTGGCCGTGAAGGTGACCAGCAAGGTGTTAGGAAATAAGACACGACAAACATTACGGCATGCTCCACAGACACCGAAAACGTGCATGAACAAGAGGAAGTGCCGAAGAAGTGCAGGCAGTAATATACAATAGAACGCTACTATCAGAAGCTACCTCAATGCATGGAGACCATCGGATGGGAGACAAAGCTATAAACGCCAACAAAACACATCTTTAAATGGTGCATCTGATGCACAAGTATGAGATCCCGCCTAACGGTGTTTACCATTCGCATGCAACTTAGATCAAGCCGGGTTCGTTGTACCTAAAAGGGATTTAATAGCGCTCTCAAATGGTTGTGAGTGCGTTTCTTGTTAAACGATGTTGAACAAACCAGCTTTAGCATAAGCTGTTGGCCAGCAAAAACGGCGGCAACAGGGTCGCATTAGGTGGCATGGGGCCTCGCTGAAAGGGCCTGCGGCGTACCCCGTGGCGTATTATAGGGAGCCCCGGGCACCCAACAGTCGAACCAAAGCCGAGAGCGAGCCGCGGGGCGTCGGCGTGGAATGCGAGCCTACCGATGGGAACCAGGGCCTCCGCCACCACAGGTCGCATTGGGATACGCCACTGAGCTCCCCAAACGGTCCGGCGCAAAACGCCGACCACGCTCTCAAACTACAGGGTACGGCTCTTACCTGAGTTGAAGATGAGCTAAGAAACATTGAGCTTTACTGGGCTTTCTCGTGCGCGGGTTTCTCGTCCCCACCGTGGGCCCCATTTTCGGTCGCCTCTCGTGCCGGCCAGGTCTGCAATCAAGAGAGGGCGCCGCCCGTCGGGTCGCACGTCGTCTCCAGCCGCTCGGGGTCGACCGGCTCGGCTAGCGTCTCTCCCCCCCCCCCCCCGCCACCCCAGCATCGGCAGCCCCCCGCATGCTCCCCGGAATCGATGCCTCACTCGTAGTGCCGATAGTGCACTTGACTGGAGAGTGCTTTCTTTATACTGTTGCAATTTCTGAGCGAAAACAAAAGAGGAGAGACCACTTGAACGCTCCCAGCGTGGGTAAGGCGGCACCAGTAGGCTCTTAGATACAAGTACAGCTGCGCTGGCTCGCTTGCAGTGCTTGTGGGCGGTGCGCTAGGGTCGACTACATATAGTGAGATGAAGCCAGAAGAACGCCACAGAATCGGATCTTTCAGTGGACATCAGGAAGTGGTAGGATTTAAAAAGCAGGGGAAGTGCTCAGCAGGTTCCAAACACTGATCACTATTCCACTCCATAGCCAACATTTTAGGCGCAGCCTAAATTGTTACTGACTTTACCTTTTCAATTTGAACCGCTCTGTTTCTGTTGCATATCAGCGATACGTCCCTAGCCAAATTCAAAACATTTTCATTTGTAAAAGAGACGTTTAATTGCAGGTCAACCTATCTTTTTTAGTGGAATACGTTGCTCCAACGATGCATTTTTCTGTTTTTGCGATGTGGTCGTCCATGCCTCATGCTTTACCCAGTCTGCGCCGGTCCTAACATCTACCCTCAGGTGCCAAAGCTCACATCCTGAGTCTCTTTGACAACGGTCTTTACATTTGACTGGTATGTTATGATATTCTAAGGTTGAGATGACACGCACGATCGAAAACTATCATTTTATCATTTTGTGGGACCCAGAAGCCTGATTCATGATCACGAGATTTCTACCTGCTTTCTTGGGGCTGATAACCCAGCTCCTTATCGTTTGATTCCAAAAGCGCAGATACTTGTGTCACAGAGCTTCATGCGCGCTCGTGCGCGTCTGCGTTTGTAATCATGGCTCGCGGTCCACAGACAGATCATGTTCTTGGTCATGCGTTCCCGGGTTACCCGCAGATAAGGAAGAAATTAAGTGAAATATTACCAGAAAACCTAGTTTCTTTTGCACACCTCGTCCACCCCTGAACCTCAGCCCTCTATCTCTTCTTCTTCTTCCCACCCCTAATCTGTTCACATGTGTTGTTTCAACCAATTCCGTTGTTCTCTGTGTTGCTCCTTTCGACGCCATATTTTGATTAATTTACGGCAACTGCGTTTCTCCTAACCCTCACGGCCATTAACATCAAAACCTCTCAAGCTATACGCACTATGGCTACGAGAACATGGCTGCTAGAAAGCCCTTACGTTTTCTTTAAGGCACGCAACAGTTCACAGTTATTCGCAGGATGAGATCGAAGCCCACAGCCGGTGCAGGCCACGCAGCGCCACACCGGGCCACTGAGCGTATCCCATGTACAGTTCCAGGGCTGACGACGCCTCCCAGAGTTTTCTGCGCCAATGGCTAAGAACAGACATTCCGCTGCGAATTTACTCTGTGAAACATCTGCCCTCCATCTAGGCTCGAGCCCGGTCCGCGGTCGCAGGCGGGGGGTCCACTCACCGCCGGCGAGATGGAGTTGAGCGCGTACGACATGCCCTGCAGCCGGGGCTCTGGCGTGCCGTGACCTCGCTTGACCGACGCCGGCGACCCGGCCGCCGGCGTGCCGGGGCTGTCCGCCCTGCGGCGAGCCGGGTTCCAGTCAGACGTCGCGCCACAGTGCGCGCGCCTCGGTCAGAGCAGCCGGCGCAGAAGCGCCTCAGGGGCCGGGGCACAGAGAGCATCGGCGCGTCGGCGCGTCGGCAGCGACGGCACAGCATGACCAGCGCCGCTCTGCGGTGTCCTGTTTGACACTGACGACGGAGGCACAATCAGCTGCCGCGCCGGAATCGCACCGGCCGGCATCCGGTCGCGCGCCGCGAGCTCCGCTTGATGCGCATTCCGAGCGCAGCCCAAGCACCAATGAGAAGCTTTATGGCAGGTTGCCAGCGCGCGGCAGCCTACCGTGTCTGCAGCTGGTTGGGTCCAGGCTCTGGCGGCTGGGCGTTTTTGGCGTCCACTTTGTTCAGGTCTGCTGCGCCACCATCAGAAGGCTTGTCTCCTGTGGGACACGTGGCAGACTGGTAGCGTGCATACGCCAATGCAATGCATCACATCCAGGTATTCATCGTGCTCTCCGCTTTGGTCTTACGCAAAAAGGGCACACTAATAAACGTTATAGGTAGATGTGCTTGCTCAGATAAGTTTCTGTCTGCAATGCACCCATACACCAACGTAGCACCCCAAAGGTGGTCATACAGCACGTACCAGCGCGTCTCATGTTGTAATACACGTCAGGGTCGATTGGCCAGAAGATGCGGTTATGCCAGAGCAATGCAGAATCCATTGGTGATACTTGAGAAAAAGAAACGTTATGTTGTGCTTTTCGCAAAGTTCAGCGTCGAAATAATAAGTATCTTACATTTCGATTTATTTTTCAAGCATGCTCCTGAAAAGTTTGGTAAGCTATCGACTATCCATAATCCATATTTCACAGAGCTGCAGGCTTTCCATACCGAGGATCGGTTTGGTCCCACTTTGATTTTTCCATCATCAAAGAATCGTTCCAGCCAAAACGCTGAAAGTTTGTGCCTCTTATTGCCATCGGTTTGACACATCCTGACAAAACTTAGACATCCAGAACCGTAGCCCATATCTGGCTAATGCTCTGAGTCTCAAACGGGGTATCGGAATTTTGCTCTGGGACCGGCCTTTATAGCAAGATAGCGTTGACTGTTATGAACCTCTCAGGTCTGGTGCAAGGACACGGTTTTGCCTGATGTAAGCACGACAGGTCTACATCTTCTGGTTTTTCGGCACTATGAATTTACAGGCCCTGTCCTAAGTTATCGATCTTTGATATACCAGGAGATACTGACAGAACAGGGTTGTGCAGCAAAAATTGATATATTGGCAGCACTCGACGTTGCGAGCCGTGTTTACAATCAGCACAAGCCGTGCGTATGGGGGCATGTGACCATAAGCATGCATTGAAACACTGAGTCCTTCTATTGTGACCAATAGTTATAACCATTAGTCTACACGGTCGTCTAACCAGTGCCTCCTGGTATTTTGCATGTCAGTAACTCGGCATAACGCCCATGAACTCCTAAAAGAGGCGATTTTATGACGTCCGTGCACAAACCGATAAATATCACAGTTCAGTTAGGTCTGTCCATTCTGGGCACTAGGAGAACACCGCTTTGCCGTGCTTTTCTAAGAACCGAACCACGAATTTCCTTCTCACACTATCAAGACCTACATAGCATCCTTCCTCTGTCACCCATCCAAAAATATCATGCCTTCGGGGTCACCATAGTCGCAATATCAAAACAAAATAAAATTGGGGAAAATATCTGCTTCATTTAGACAGATGAACAGTTCAAGCTATCCCATTTGATGCCATATTTAGTGCGTCATTAGTGTTTTCAGTTTTCAGGTACATAAACATCTAGTTCAGCTAACTTCAGACACCCATTTTTGAGACAGATTTCTTTCGTCAAAGTTGTGTTAATAGGCTATCAGATTTCAACCTCAAGCATTCTCGAGCAAATTTTTTCGCAGCTTAATTGAGTCCAATTTAAAGCCGACTCACACAAAAGTTGAGGACCGCAGCTTTCAGCCAAACATGTGCATTGTAATATCCAAAGCAAAACTCCTAGCATTTTCGACTGTGCGTGACAACTTTTTTATGCATTGGAGATATAGCTGTGTGGAACGTACTGCTTCGACATTCACGTGGACTACCCCACTAGGTTTTCTCGAACAGCATATGGTCTTAAGCTTAATTTAATGACATTCCGGGGCGGAAAAGATAGAATTTCCGCAGTACACCCGCATCATCATCATCATGTCAGCATTTCGTTACGAGTTCTGTTCTCTTAATCTTACCAGATAAAGCGCAGTGCCTCTCGAAGTACGTCGTTCTGAAATAATTGCTTTTCTGACTGGAAGTCATTTCTAGGTCGTCCAGCAAAGCAGTCTATACAACTACGGTTAGCATGCTGGTAAGCCTACGATGGCTGAACCGCATATTAACGAACATGACATGCTAAACGGCCGCCCAGATTTGGTGCCCGGGGTCAGCCCAGGACCCATGAGCATAGCGTGAGTGTGCTGGTAGGTTAAGCGCGACCAACGTGAAGGGCCCCTGAGCAACCGAGAATACCCCGGATGTCAACACATGCCCCCCCCCCCCCCCCTCTCCCGGCCCTAGCGTATAGAGCGTTTCGGACCAATGGAAAGAATCTGTGGAAGGCCGCCCATTGGCAGAGTGCCCCGGCACGCTGGCAAGAATGGCCCCAGCAGCATCGCAGGGCCTCCGAGCAAATGCAAATAAATCAAAGGGCAACGAAGTAGGCTCCTTAACAATCAGGTTGACCGCACAAAGTGGATATATAGAGCCCCGGAAACAGCGCAGCACCTCTGGACAGCGTAAGCAGTCTTAAGACGTACCAGTCACCACACTCTCAATCAGTGAAGAATAATGTTGTCTACTCGTGAGCTCTTCACTCTCGCTTGCGACTGTTATCGGTCGCCTGGAAGCCCAAAGACGTCCAATTTTGTTGCGCTCTGTGTAGAAAAAAACAAACACTGCGCCTGTTCGACCGGCTATGAGACCCCTCGGAGCCTATGGAGCCGTTCGGGGTCCAAGGGGGGGGGGGAGTCATGACCCCGTGCCCGTCCCTTCTGGATCCGCCCCTGGTTCACAAATGCCTTTTTGATAGGTTCAATGCCTTGAACAGAGGGGCGAATTCCTCCACAGAACTAAAGTGAACAGATCAACACAGCTGTTAAGCATATTGCTTATCCCGGCCTATTTGCAAGTAGCACGATCCTTAAAGCACATTTATTTCATAACTCCAACTGTGATCACTCCCCACCAGCAGTAAACCATGGTCATCAGCCATGTCACCTGCGGCACACTTCAGTGGTTCTGTCCGTTCCCGTTTCTAGTGATGTTCGGGATTAAGTGCACGAATTAGTGATATCGCTGTAACAAAACTCAGACAAATATGGCGCATACATGGGTACCACGCAATGTAGCCGAATGTTCTGTGCCCCGCAAAGGACCGTTAATGTCGGCCAGACGTGGCGGTGTCCGCTGGGACACGGTATCGGCCGTCCAGCGGGGCCCAAGGGACACTGGCCAGACGTGTCGATGCCGCGTAACTCACGAGGGGGCTGAGCTTACCCCGGGCGCTGAGTGCTGGCCGAGTCAGCCGATCGCCCGCAACAGAGGATACGTGGTACCCATGTATGCGCCATATTTGTCTGAGCTTTGTTTGAGCGATATCACTAATGCGCGTCATAGAGATGGCGGCTACAAAGCTCTTAGGATGTATTGCCACCAGCTTTCCCTCTTGGACTGAATGCAATGATGACTGTCTTAGCCTTAGTTAGTCCATGACCTTAGTCGTCATCATATTATGTAAAAGAATATTTGCGAGAGAGAAGATCTCTTCTCTCTCTCTCCTCTCTCTCTCTCTCTCTCTCTCTCTCTCCTCTCTCTCTCCTCTCTATCCTCTCTCTCTTCTCTCTCGCTCTCTCTCTCTCTCTCTCTCTCTCTCCTCTCTCTCTCTCTCTCTCTCTCTCTCCTCTCCTCTCTTCTTATCTCTCTCTATATCTCCTCTCTCTCTCTCTCTCTCTCTCTCTCTCTCTCTCTCTCTCTCTCTCTCTCTCTCTCTTCTATCTTCTCTTCTTCTCTCTCCTCTCTCTCTCTCTCTCTCTCTCTCTCTCTCTCTCTCCTCTCTCTCTCTCTCTCTCTCTCTCTCCTCTCTCTCTATCTCTCTCTCTCTCTATCTCTCTTTCTCTCTCTCTCTCTCTCTCCTCCTCATCTCTCTCTCTCTCTCTCCTCTCTCTCTCTCTATTCTCTCTCTCTTCTCTCTTCTCTTCTCTCTCTCTCTCTCTCTCTCTCAGCATCTCTCTCTCTCTCTCTCTCTCTCTCTCTCTCTCTCCTATCTTCTCTCTCTCTCTCTCTCTCTTCTCTCTCTCTTCGCTCTCTCTCTCTCTCTCTCTCTCTCTCTCTCTCTTCTCTCTCTCTATCTCTCTCTCTCTCTCTTCTCTCTCTCTCTCTCTCCTTCTCTCTCTCTATCTCTCTCTCTCTCTCTCTCTCTCTCTCCTCTCTCTATCTCTCTCTCTCTCTCTCTCTCTCTCTCTCTTCTCTCTCTCTCTCTCTCTCTCTCTCTCTCTATCTCTCTCTCTCTCCTCTCTCTCTCTCTCTCTCTCTCTTCCTCTCTCTCTCTCTCTCTCTCTCTCTCTCTCTCTCTCTCTCTCTCTCTCTCTCTCTCTCTCTCTCTCTCTTCTCGCTCTCTCTCTCTCTCTCTCTCTCTCTCTCTCTCTCTCTCTCTCTTATTGCGTTCAAACTACCTTGGAAGCATCGTTCCAGGTAAGTTGTTCACGGGCTAGTAAGCTCAGAGCTTTCAAATGGAAGGGGGAAAACAGCTCGCTTCTGCAGGAGTATGTTTTTCAACGATGTTGGTTGTTCATAGGATGTTTTTTTTTTAAAACGGTTTCGCGGGGCTACAGTCATCTGACTCGTCCAACACGCCACCATTAGATGCTATACAAAAACTGCATTATCTTTATACTTCATCGCACGTAAGTGCAGCGTGACGGGACTGAGTGTGGGTGGGGGGGGGGGGGGGGGGAGTGGGGAGGTACCAATAGTGTTGTTGTACGTCTGGGAAACCAGATGCACGCCTCTATTGCCCGCGTTGCTCACTGTCCCGCTGGGGTGAGAGGCAGGCGATGCGCCTCAGCATCCGAGTGCGTCGTAAAGCCCCAACGACCGACAGGCGGCGGATGTGGCTCGGGTGGCCTTGACCTGTGCCACCGGCCGACCGGGACCAGCGGCGGCCTGCGCGGCAGACAGCCACGTCCGGCAGACAGCAACACTCTTACTTTCCCCGACAGTAAAACACATAGGAGTGAGAGGACAGAAGACCACGGGAGCAGGACACAGCCTACAAACTCGGAGGATGTCGATTATTAAAGACCAAACTCTTCTGGAAGTGGCCGAAATTTTTTGTAAGACATTCAAAGAAGAAATGCTCTATTCATGTTGCCTTCCAGAAGAAGATTACACCACAACCCTTGTAAAGTTCAGCGTTCGCCACGTCCACATTCCCGACGAGAAACCGTCTTACACTGACGGTTCAGAGATGCTCAAATGCTTTATAACACCACCATCAGGTTCACGTCTCATTAAGATCTCATTCAAAGGAAATTAATACTAAATGTCTTGCACCAGCCAAGATAAGCGCTCTAAAAGGCTTATTCTCTTGCGATCCGAGGCTACCAGACGTCATACGGACGATGGAGAAGCTCAATTTCAGCACGACACAGATACACTCAGCTGGGAGATGCAGCAAACAGAGCCATTGCCTTTTCGCTTGCGGCTTTGTGGCATAAAAAGAAAACACTAAAATTGTTTATCAGTCGACTTTGCACAGTTCATCGAACAATCGAGTTTGCAACAAATTTGTCACAAAATGTATCCGTCTGTGGCTCTCAAGTTGCCTACGCAACTACTCAGACTCCGGCGATGCTCACTAGTGGCTCGCCTCAGGCTGCTAGCAACGTCATCACCAGCACGGTCTGTCTGCCTGTCCTGCCAGGCTACGCTTCCGACAATCCTCAGTAGGCCACGGACAAGGCTCTGGTCTTGCCGTTAAGTGGCTCTGACGGGCTCTCTGTGGTGTTTATTCAACGGATAGTCGATCATGTCAACGATCTTCCCTCTGTGGCTGGCTCTGACGGGCTCTCCGTGGCATATATCCAACGGATAATCGATCATGTCCGCGATCTTCCCCTCTGTGGCTAAAAAGACATGACAAGCCTAGCGGGCTGGGACCAAGGCTCCGGTGGGAGATGTGCCGACTCCGACTGGTGCGCGTGGGTCACGTGACCACAAAGACCCTTTCTGACGGGGGTGCGGAGGAGCACCGCCACTGGGACAAACACCTGCCCAGAACGACTCCGCTGTGCTTGCGCCGGTCTCACCTCTCCAGTGAGAACGGACGGGAGCCCACTCGGAGCAATCGATGGACGCTGTGTGGGTATCGCCACCGTGACGTCAGCATCGTCGGCGGTGACGTCAGCAGGTGACCTTTTGCGGCATGGCACACTTCCGCCATACAGATGGTCAGATGTATATGAATGGATTTGTTATGGCTCCAACGAAGCAAAAACAAAGAAAAGCTAGTGAGAGAACAACAAGGTCATCCATCCCCACATCTAGCGATCGCTTGGCTGAAAGTGTCTTTTTTAAAGGGACTAAGACTAGTAAAAAGTTTTCCATTTTGAGTTACCACGACGAAATAAGGTTCGGACTCTAAAAATTGTTCAGTCAGTCCAAAGGGGCAAAAAACATAAATATTGCCACTTTTGGAATATTTTGTTGCGCTGAAATCGTCGTAATGCTATCACGGCAAGTACCTCTATATTTCAGAATGCCTCTGTCAATTAGTATTATCATATTGGAAGGCACCAGGTGGACGCAGCAGGATAAAATTTTGTTAAAAACAGTTCATAATTGTCGCTACGCAATGAGGAATGTGCTGAAAAAGAGGAAAATGCAAAACAAATATATAAAACATGCCAAAACTCTTAAATGTTTTACTCGACACGGCTGTTTTCGGCATCATTTTCGCGGGGCCCGGAAATGACATGGATAACATGATCAGCAAGGGGACAAAAGTTACCCCTGATATCTATACATACAGTGACCTTAGAGCCACAACGTTCTCAGACAATAGTGCATGGATGTTGTGGGTCACAGCAGCCGCAGGTCAAGTACATGGTACAACAAGATAAAAAGCAAATTCCCGGTTGGTCGGCGATCAAAAGAGAAAATTTTTACATAAAAGAAATCGTCCTCTTTACGCGGGAGCCACGACCAGCATCTTTGAGGACAACGCGTAAAGCTTGCGCAGAACACAAAACGGCTCAGATTTGGGGTCAAACGAGGTCATATTGTGCCCCGATGAAAAAATTAAATGACAGGCAAGCTGAGCAAACCGATGACGCCTTCTCTGACACAGCCTCTCTGATAAAAGGTGACGTTTTTCAGGCGGCCGCGCACGTCCGAGGTCCGACGCTTGCGAATGTGTCCGGCCCTGGCCTTGTCTCCAGCCCGTCATGTGGTTCCGCGGTCGGCGGTGCCTCCTCCCGGCGGATGGGTAATTTCGTGGCGTGATGGGGGGGGGGGGGGGGGCGGACTGAAACGAATCAGGTGCCTCTTCGGAAACAAACCGATCAAACCGTTTTCTATGAAAAGCAGCATATTTAGACATGGCTATGCGAGCGCATGCCTTCATTCGCCGGCAGCTCTGCCGCGCCGCGAGCGTCCGTTCAGATGAGCCCGGTCGGCGAGCACGGTCAACGGACATCATGACTCTGCCAGCCTAGGACTTAACAGGTGACCTGCCTATGTGGTTGGCTTTTGCTTTACTCGACGTCTCATTCTATTTTTGGGAGATACGCCAACAACCGTTTGCTGACACCTTTAGTTTCGACATTATTCTCGAAATAAAACAGCAGGAGAAGAACGCAAAATTCTCTCACTACCTCTGGTGCGCATGTCAAAGCCGACAGCTTACAATGATTGGATGGCCTCACTGCTCGCTGACTGGTGTTGCCTCTCCTCTACCTCCCCCTCCCCCCCCCTCACCCCATTGCTTCAGTGGCAGGCGGGGGCCCGCGGGGAAGAGGATGACACCTATTCTCCAGCCCGCTCGTTAGACCTGGTCGATCCGGTCGAGGGGGAGCACCTCCCTCGTCCGCTCGTTTAACCTGGTCGGGGTGAGCAGGTTAAAGGTGAGCAGGTGAGCAGGCCGCCAAAAGCCGGCAGCGGTCCGGCCACTGCCATTGTCAGCCGTCGCTGGCTCTCCCGGGATGGGCGGACGACATTGATTTCGCCCGCGGAAGGGGCGATCTTCTGTCGATCCACCGGACCGTGACGTCACACAATGGCCGGGGCCGGAACCCCGCGGCCGGTAGCGGTCGCAACTAGGCGCCTCAAATCAGCTGAGCACGCGAACTGACAGCGAATGGTTGCTGTCAGTTCATGCGCTATGCACGCGGAAGCCTCTGTTGATACTTCACCAATATCTGCCGACGTATACCTCGCAGCTGCTCATCAATGTCCGCATCAATGCATGGTAACCCATCGTCTTCTTCTCAGGTCGTTTAGAAGTGAGAGTGGAGTAAAGTGGGCTCATTATGACCTGCGCTCTCAGGGACGTGAATAACGATATCGTCTATTCGAAAAGGGAAGGGTTAATACTATTGACTATCGCCGACGTCTTTCGCAGGCTAAGTGCTCACAACAATGTATTGTACTTTTGTGCACACGTTTCTTAATCCTTTTAACGTGGTTTCTGTTGAATGTGCTGATATGCATGATTCCCACACAATTTCAGTTTAATTGTCCCCAATGTTCAAATCACCATTGCGAGTTTGATCAGTTTGGTGCATACCGATAACACAGCAGCAATAGCATTATTCCTCCTGATTTTTTTCGAGGAATAAGGCCATTACTACTGCCTTTTCTGTATGCATGATGTTCCTCGCAAACACACCTAACAACTTACGCATTTTGGTGCGTCACCGGCAAAACTTATGAAACAACTATGAAGCGTGACATAGATAGCGTGACAAGAAAACTAGCAACTTAAGTGTGAGCCCCCTTCAAACTGGCAGCACTCAAGTCGATGTTTATATAACTGCACAACACGATATCATTTATTCCGACACCCAGCCTTATTTAGCACATAAACCCAATCTGACGCATGCGTCTCGGCCAAGCCGATCTTTCCCTGACCGCGATCACGTGGACCACGATCACCGCGCTTCTCACCTGGCTCAACCATGACGTCCACGATGTCGACCGACTTGGCGAAGGCGTCCCGCAGGTTGACGTCGTGGAAGCTGGCGACGCTGCCGTCTCGACGCGCCTTCTCCAGCGCCTCGCGCCGCTTCATCGCCTTTTCGCGCATCATCTGGCTCTTGTAGAACTCGGCGAAGTTGTTGACGATGATGGGGATGGGCAGGGCAATGACCAGCACACCACATATGGCGCAAACCGCTCCCACCCCCTTGCCTAGTGGGGTTCGGGGAAAGGCGTCACCGTACCCGACCGTGGTCATGGTGATCAGGGCCCACCAGAATGTCTCCGGAATGCTCCCGTAGTCTTTTTTGTTGCAATCTTTCTCGGCAAAGTAAGCGAGGCTCGAGAAGATGAGCACAGTGATGGCCAGAAACATCAGGAGCAAGCCGAGCTCCTTGTACGAATTCTTCAGTGTGAAGCCCAGACTCTGCAAGCCAGTTGAGTGGCGCGCCAACTTGAGGATCCGCAAAATTCGCATGATTCGGAATATGGCTATGACGCGACGAACGTCGTCAAATTGATTCTCCTTTTTGCTGGAGTCCAGCGGAAAGAGAGACACGTAATAAGGCATGATCGCCAACAAGTCGATGATATTCATGGCACCCTTGAAGAACTGCCACTTGTTGGGAGAAGCGGCGAAACGCAAGAGGTACTCCAGGGTGAACCAAGTGATGCAGACTGTCTCCACTTGGGAGAGATATTTGTTATCACCTCCATCGTCCTGGAGACTGGGCAAAGTGTTGAGCACCAGGGACGTGGTGGAGACCACAATGAAGAGGACAGATACAATGGCCAGAACCTGAAAGAAGATGACGGAATTCTTATGATGAGGAATACTGGGACGCACCTGTTCCGGCTCGAAACGACAGTGATCTTTCGGATGCGACGCATTGCTTCTGTTTTCGGCCATATCTGTTGCAGCTTGCGCTGACCGAGTTGAATGGCTGACGCTTAAAAAGACACGACACTGGTGATCATAAGGCAACGAATGCTTGTGGAGCTGTTCTGATCCTCTAAATTTGAGCCTCGGCCGGGAAGTGGGCCACAGAGTTTGTTTTTGTCATGCAGTGGGATGAGTGGAAGTGCCATATACAAAACCACTGTTGCTGATACTCATATCTTCCTAGATGCCCATGACATGGAGGAGCTTTTCACGTATTTTACCTTTGATTAGCGCTTCGAAATACATGTCATGCTTGTCCAGTCAGTCACGAAACAATATACATTTAATAAAAGGCCCATTGTCGAAAGTTTAAGACACGTTGGTTTTGGTGTAGGCTGGGACATTAGAGGGAGAGCTTTTGATCTGATTAATTAGGCTGTCAACATGACATTCCGCAAGACCGAGCTGAGTAGAGCACACAATATTTAAACGTAACTATTGAGAAGATTCTGAGTGGATATATTCCTGAGGGCTGTGCCCCACATCTGTAACCATGCCACATAGCCATCTTGAAGATCATTCCATGCAGTTTGCAGTCCTGACCTTCCTGTGACCTAAACCATCCAGTTTCTGAGGTATCCGCTCAGAAAGGTGTGCAGACTATTTCAAAGCTACCCAGGCATCCATGGTGCCATAATAACATCATTGAAATCCTACTTTTCCACTGGTCATGCGGCCTTCAAGGCCAATAAAAGCACAATTGTCAAGTCATTCATATCTGAAGCTCGTGAGCACGATTTCCAGACATAGCGACCGTCAATTGGCTATCAGCCAATGCCGCGCAAGCTAGACGAGATTCCCAAATGAATGACGCTATGTGCTCCATAACACAAGAAATCACAATTATTCCTAGCTATTACGGAAATAAGACTTGCGATCGAATAATTTAAGACAAACGTTATAACCACACATGCGAATACAGGTAAGCACCTTCAAAGACAATGCTTCACATTTAAAGATATTGAAGCAGGCGTCAAATGTGATGAAACAAGCTCGCATGTGGCATTGGCATACATTTGAATGGAAAAGACTGCTATAGATAGCACAAGCTATTTAGTAAATATGCTTCCCAACGCGCCATGATCTGATTACGTTACCAGCTTTGCACAACATTGACAGCCAATTGATGGCCGTCATATCTGGCAATCGCGCTCATGAACGCCAGATATGAGCGTCTCGACAATTACATTTTTTGGTCTCTATCGCCGCATGACTTTTGGAAGCGCAGCATTTAAATGACGTTACTATGACGTCATAAATGTCAAGGTAACATTGAAATACTCTTCCCGATATACCTTCCCCATTTTTTGCGGGCGGGTGTTCAACAACAATTCGTGAGGCTATTTCCGACAGCCGCGTATAAATTATTTTAGCTAATTGATCAGGCTGTTTTGCCGTGCCGTAAGATTGGTCGCATTAAAGTGCTGTGTTTTTGCCTCTCCATATATTTGGATCTGACATATCGGGTCCCAAGGTGTTGGTGCCTCCATCGCACCTCGCCTGTCGAGGTTGGATGATGTATATATATATATATATATATATATAATATATATATATATATACAAAAGTTCATATAGTGCGAACTAACTCGTCAGTCATCCAGCTCGAACGCATTGACCATTATGTACATGACATTGACCAATGACCATTACAGCTCGCGCAGACAAACAATACAAAGCAATGCTTCGTAACCGAAAAACCCCGTGTACGTGGGCCGAGGACAGGCGCTTTATGCACAGATTGCGCAAAGGTACACAATAGCATTCCTTCACATAGGTTATGCATGGTTATATATTCCACTGCACGCCAAGCCAGACCGGATTTTAGTAGTAATAGCCTCATGCAAAGGCTCCATTAAATAAACGCTTCAGAGCCAGCTCAAGCCTTTGCCCATTACTCTGGAAATGTGCGGCACACAAAGGTTGGACAAGATCCTTGCTTGGGTAAAAGGTTTTAATAATTCAGCGCTACTGACATAGCGCTATGCTTCACCAATGAAAACCAGTTCTGAAGAACAGACGTGCTGCAAGCACCACTCATACCTGTCTGACAGCAGGTCACTTTTTTATTTTTTATAAACTTATTCCGAACGAATTGCATGGGTGACTCTGGGTCCCTAGTATCAGCTAAGCATGGCTTTTTGCGTGTATCCTGAACCCGCCACCTAAGTCGTACCGTCCAGGTCAACGGATATTTTCGCCTCCGCCCCGGCGCCAAACAGGGCTGCGGAGGGTTTTACCTGCCGCACAATGCTGTGACACGGCAGCCCCGGGCCAGGGTTGACCCTCGTTGGCCGGTTGCTAGCTCACCTTTCCATTTCAGTCGGGCTAAACAGTACGCCCGCTCTGGGACCCGTACCCAGTGCCGCTGGATTATGAGTTCAGCGTCTTTCCCCCGGACCACGGAGGCGGCAAGGCGCCGCTTTGATCATGCATATTTCAAAATTTACTTGAATGTTTTTCAGCCGAGTTAGTCAGCTTTTGCAACCTATCTGTGCATGTGTTTGTGTGATCATTATCAATGTCAAAAGGCACTCCACCCTTTTAAGTCATGGTCCTGACTGAAAAACGAATTTTGGCCAACTCGAAAAAGATATGCCCACCGCTGTCGGTGTTTGTTCGCACCCGGTCTATGAATGAACAAAATGTGGATCAATGTTCATCGTAACGATGCTGACAACATACAGGTAACTCGATAATGGCATCATGACAGCGTGGGACGCACGTGCGCCTCTCCAACGAGACGTTATTAAAGAACAGGGCGTTTGGCAGTTCCAGTACAGAGACACCGCAACAAGTGGTCGGTCAAGGGAATGTTACAGCCGTAGTGACCGGGTCGAGGCGGTTGAACCAGGCATTCCGGAAGGTATAACCTTGGCGTCTGAAGGTCATTCATGGCCGCAGTCACGAACCGAACAGACGCAGAAACCAACGCACGCCTTGAGCCAGAATTCGGTGAGCACGTGCTTTGGTATGCGCCTAGGCTGAAAGGTGACAAAATGTCTGTTATACGGATGTTTTTATCAGCCAGCTGTTTGGCCAGTTCTGTTGTAATGCATAATCAGCGCCGTCGTGCGACGCGTCGCTATCAAATCTATATCACTATCCGAGAAAGTGATAAATTTGTGTACTAATACTATGTATATACTATACTATATATATATATATATATATATATATATATATAGATATATATATATATATATATATATATATATATATATATATATATATATATATATGATTGTACTAATGCTCATGAACCTGAACATTTCCATTGTCAATCATCATTATAACAGCTACTAGTTATAATCAGCTAGTCGATCACGAAATATTATGCATATGCAACGCTTTTGCGTGCCACGCTGTCATGATGTCGTTATCGAGTCAGCTGTATGTTGTGAACATCGCTACAATGGATATAATTCCATATTTTGCTTATTCATTGACCGGAATGCGAGCAAATATCGATAGCTGTGGGTCGGCACATATTTTTATTTCAAGTAACTATCCACTAAGGTGTTCAGTGTTCTGTGATTGTGATGCGATAACGCTTTTGCGATGGCGCTCTGCAGGATGCAAGAATAGGTGGTCATGAAATGTGACCACGAAGCGCTTTATTTATTCCACTTTGGTACCAAACTAAAAGGAAGGATACAGGGAATGAGCAGAAAAGTTAACTTTGACGGCATGGTGAACCTTTGTTAACGAACATTCTACTCACATTGCAACATTTGTTTAGCATGTTTCCTTGCAATGCCAAGTTAAGATGTCAAAATGCACAGATTTCTTTGATAATTAAAGACAAAAGACAGATATCGTAGGGACCAAATATAAAGAGAAACCCTCTGCAACGTCGAAGGATTTTCGGACGTACAGACAACAGGCGTCGAGTTTATCCTGGGCTGCGGAATACTTGGGTAGTGCGTTTGTGTGTTACATTTGTAAAGAAGTGCTACAACATATTTTGTGTTATGATGTGACATATATGACATTCTTAGTTAAAACATAATCATATTTGATTGCTGTTCACATTGTTACAGTAATAAGCAACTGAAAGAAAAAGAACTAAAAATACAGCAAACCGCGGTGTGTTGTGCACGCATAGGATGCTTTGACACATACAGTGACCAAGTGTACGCAACATTGATGCAACATTTTGAGCGGTGCCCTGGCGGACAGCCAAACATCGTGCTGAAATGTCAGCCTGGCATAGCGTCGCAAAGGACGTGGCACAGTTCGTGACACGGCGGGATACAATATTGAGGCCCCTACGGTCATACATGTTTTATGATGCAATGATGGTGCTTTGTTAGCATGACCATGCTTGTCTGTATCGACCAAGAAGTTAGCTATGATTTATAGAGGCCAGCAGCGTCACAAGACCCGAGGAGCCCGTTAGGCGAAGCAACCGAGCAACAACCCGGAGGTGTGTTAGCAACTGCATTATGCTCAAGTTTGAATTAAGCATGGCATTGGATGGCCGACACAACATATTCCTGAGCGCATGCTAAAATAACACATGACCAGCTAGAATGAGCAGTGTGCTTTGACTTCTTTACCCTCAGTGATCACGTGCCTAATTTTGTGGAATAGCCACGAGCCCATGTAGCTTCCCTAAGCTTAGCAGTTTGTATTACCCATTCCCGGGTCCACGCGTGTGGCAAGAGGGAAAATGAGCCGCTTCGAAAACAAACATAGGGGCTTTCCTGGCCTGGACTCCGAGTTTCCAGCGACCCCAGGGGTATGTGACCTGTGGATGGTCGCCCCTGCCCCCTCCCCCGGCAGAGTGGTTCTGGACGCCGAGTCACCAGCCGCCTCAGGGGCCGGTGACCTGGAGGTGGTCTGTCCCCTAACGGAGTGGTCCTGGACTCCGAGTCAACAGCCACCTGAGGGGCCGGTGACCTGGAGTGGTCTGTCCCCTAACGGAGTGGTCCTGGACTCCGAGTCAACAGCCACCTGAGGGGCCGGTGACCTGGAGG